TTTGTTACCACACCGTAGCTGTTAATCTGAAGATAGACTCCTAAACACAAGGTTTTAAAAGTTGTTAGCCATGCATGAAAGTTACAATTGTTATGATTTTCTTAACATAAACATGAATTTATTTGAAGAGAAACACTCACACGTACAATCATGGTACATATCATTGATTTTATTGTTACAAATAGTTTTTGTGAGTCATGGTATTCCTCTTGTGAAAAATGGTAAATCCCAGTCCAGAACCATGGAGTCCCAGTTGAAAAAACAGAGAGTCTGCATCCATAGGTATTTTGTTACCTCACAGTTTATATTAAAATAATCTGAATACAGACTCCAAAACTCTCTATTGCAGTTTACTGAAATAAAAATGTTATTTTTCTATAGTTAATCACAACATTGATTGACTTTCTTAGAACGTCTGCATGAAAGGCTAGTATATTTGGGGATTTTTATGCATCAGGGATGCATGACACAGACAAGTATTATTACTTATGATATTGTAAAACTAAAATAAGGTTGACTTTGATTCCAAAAGAGTTAATGATGCTACATGCGAAATCAAAGATGTTGGATGTACTTTATATTGTTCCTATAGAAAGGCATAGAAGAAAGTAACAAGACTGTTAATGAAGAGAACCAAGTCACTGATGAGCCAGTAAGCTCCATTAATACATATTTTTCCCATTTTTAACATACTATATATTAATAAAATGTTTCATTTTCTCATGCTACAGCTGTACGTCAAAAAATACCTTCTCAGCCAACAGTACTAGTAGTTGTCGATGTGTTTTCAGGTTACTCTCTGTCCCAAGGCTGAACCAGAAATGATTTATCTATTTCATGCCCATGTTAACATTATTATAACGTGGATACATTGCTTTAGACAATTCCTAGTTTTAAAACAAGCTAAACAAAGCTTACCTCTGTCGATGTTAAGTTCATCTCAAGAGTGCATGTTTGACGGGAAGTTTAGAAGAGAAAGGGTTGTTCAGGTTCGCAAATTAATATACTCCAAATAGCAGATGTCATCCATAGAGTTGTCTTCTTGCTTGTCTTCTTACTATCCTTGCTATGTTTGTAGACAATAGTTTGCCCTGCAACAATATTACTAAAATGTTCCACCACTTTGTGCTGACTACCAAAGCAGCTCTAACTTGTCCCTAGGTCTTCTAGGTTAACTGTTCAATAATCTGATAATTTTGCTGCATGATTGCAGACATTGTTGGTTCAATGTTGCAAAATTCTTCCAAATTTGGCAGACAATATATAGCTGGTTATGATAAATTAGGCATGGTGTTCTTAGCCAATCAGAATCTGTGAAATATGTTGAGAGAATAATTATGTATCATATTTGTTAATTGACAGCCCCCTGAATCAGAGAATGGAAGTGTAAGGACAAACACTGATGGTAAGGGACGTTCAAAGAAAACCCGTTTTAACATTTATTTTGATACTCAGAACCCTTATATGTAGAATATTCAATGTTTTTGGGTGTTTCTATGAAATATTTTGCAGGGTGCAAAGAAAGTCAGCTTTACAGCTTGCCATCTGGGCTAGCTGTAACTAGCATGATTCCACAGTTCTTCTGTAATTTGAATTCTCAAAAAACTTTACTTGCCCATAGAGCAATCTAAGAACAAAATTCACTAGCGCGAGAGCAAACTCCACCAGCCCTGGGTTATTGGACAGTACGTTCTTTGCACGCTGAATTTTGGCAGATTGAAAGCTACAGTTTGTTGAAAGGACCCCCCCTCGATTAAGTGTATTCTGTTTAATAAGCACCCCTTTTAGCTTAAAACTTTTAAATCGGCACCCAGGCGGTTGTTTAACAGAATAATGGTCACTGTTAAAAATTTTACTTGTTCGCTGAGCAAAAAAGGCACTGAAATATCTATTAATAGGTTTGCACAAATTTTCCGATTAAAACCTGTTAGTCTAGAAAAACCTTGTCAAAATTACATATGCTGCCCATTCTAGGCACCTCTTTTGAATTTTTTTTTCTTAGTACGCCGGACAAGCGTACTTAGAATTTAGTAAGTTCTTTGTTAGTTTATTTTGTGTATACTGGATTCTGATGTCTTTACTTACTGCTCCAGAAGGTTAGGTGTGAATAGGGCCTGTTTTACTCCCTTAGTCACTGAGTGTTTTATCAGCTGTCTTTTTAACATGCTGTGCTCTGTGGTAAAACTGAAGAAAGCCATACATGCATGCCCATGAAAATGGAAAAAATTAGCCGTACTGCGCGTACTAAGCGTACTAAGACCGAAAAAAATACCTACATACATAGAACAAGACTGAATAAAATACCAACATACATGAGAACATGGCTGTACTAAGTGTACTGACGTACTTAGACCGAATAAAATTTCAGCATACATAGAACATGGCCGTACTAAGCGTACTAACACCGAAAAAAATACCAACTTGCATAGAACACGGCCATACTAAGCGTACTAACCTACTAACACCGAATAAAATACAGACATGTGTAGAACATGGGTACTAAACGTACTAACGTACTAATTAAGACTGAATAAAATACCAACATACATAGAACATGGCCGTACTAAGCGTACTAACGTACTAACACCGAATAAATACAGACATGTATAGAACATGGCCGTACTAAACGTACTAACGTACTAAGACCGAAAAAATACCAACATACATGAAAACATGGCCGTACTAAGCGTACCAACGTACTAAGACCGAATAAAATACCAGTATACACGAGAACATGGCCGTACTAAGCGTACTAACGTACTAACACCGAACAAAATACCTATATATTATCGTACTAACGTACTAAGACTGAATAAAGTACCAACATTTTGAAAACATCGCCGGTCGCGAACATCACCACGTTTAGTTAGCAATACAAACGCATTAGGCACTCCAGCGCACCTGATCATGAGGTCAAGAGCTTTTTTAAAAATCTCTTTTTAAAAACAAAATTTCACATACCTTGCCTCTTGGGGACAATGATTCAGACAAAGCAGGGATTTATTCCCAGATTTCGGAGACAGTTGTTCATTAGGTTGCTAAAGTTATCAACTGAATAACCAGGTGCAAACTTTACTGTTTATATAAGTACTGGCTTCAAAGGATTGTGTGGTCTTCAGGGGCACCCAACGACAATTTTATGAAAATATCTGTTCGGAAGACGATTTGAGATCTACAATTTTCGGAACATTTGTTGTAAAATTTCTTCCTTCCCTGCCTCTCCTAGGATTTTCGAACATCTAAATAATGGTATAATTGCCTATTTTTAAAGGATTTGTACCCTAAAAAGGTCACCTAGAATTTTCGGGAGCCTTTTTTCTGGCTGGAATTTTCGAAAAGGTAAGTTTTGATCCCTATAATTTTCGGATCATTAGACTTTCAGCTAGGAAATCCGAACAGATGAAAAATTTTTAGGGGATAAAAATATGCCTGTATCTACCGTTCAAATACTAAAATACGTTAAACAATGTTATGTTTAAGTGGTTTTGAACTATCTTCTCGTTGGGTGCCCCTGGGTCTTGTCGTTTATTAATCAAGCTCTCCGGGGCGCTCTGCTGCCTCCCGGCTCTGCCTCCACCCGCCGCCGCCATCGTTTTCGTTTTCGATTGTTGTGTCGTTAATAGGCTGAAAATTCTAAGAATTTTACGACGGGAAACACGCCTGATAGGCAGCACTCAAATATTACAAAATTCAAATGTTGCAAGGTCTTAAATAGAAGTTTTAGTAGTCAAACCACTCAACAACAACAAAAAATACGTTTATAACGATGACTTTATTAGCTGGCCATTATACAGATATATTGCCATTAGTCAAACAATCAAACAAACGAACTGTTAAAGGAATAGAGAACTGAAATTTATAATAGTCCCCCAATCAGACCATCGGGAGAAATGGTCGGCCATTTACGCACATTGATCATTGAGCCATTGAGCTGGGCTAAATCAGGCATGAATGTGCTAAGAAAGCGGCATAATAATAGAGAAAACGGGCGATTTTGGCGCAGCAGAGTGACTAAAATCGTCATTTCCGTATGAGATGAATTCTCAAATCGGCTATAGTATTTCGTGATGTAGCAAATGTAATAAATGTCGGTATGATGTAAGACTGCTTGTCTTGATGATGGTGTTTTTTGTGGGATTTCATTAATTTAAAGCATTTTCTCTTTATTAGTTTCCATTCGTTTTTAGTATGTACACGAAGAGAGAGAGAGAGAGAGAGAGAGAGAGAGAGAGAGAGAGAGAGAGAGAGAGAGAGAGAGAGAGAGAGAGAGAGAGAGAGAGAGAGAGAGAGAGAGAGAGAGAGAGAGAGAGAGAGAGAGAGAGAGAGAGAGAGAAGATAACGCCTTTCGATTGTACAATGTCACTAGCAATAATTATTTTTTAAAAAATGTTACATATTTATAGGCACTTTTTCCGATGCTGCGACGTCCCGTCATAGCACCAAAAATGAGATAGGCGCGTTATCAACAAAACGGGAGTAAATAAAACAACAACAAACTCCTTAGGCTATTCACAACAGCGATAACTGAAGTGTTTTAACCAGTATGGAATATATTCATTGAGTGCCCAGCTCTTTCAGTTGCTCCTCTCTTTCAGAAATTAATGGTTCTTCCTCCCGCAACAACTCTGCATTTGTAAATATCTCTGATCGGCTGAGAAAAACTTGGTCAGCATCACTTCTAATACCTTCTTGGGACTTAATTTCGCAATTTTCTATATAGACAGTGGAACAAGCAATCGGTGAAATCTCTGCAAAACGTTAACTTCTCAATGGAAGGTACAAAATGGAACTAACCAGTATAACCACATAAAAAATTGTGTGTAGTTGTCGATACATAACCTGTATATGTTGCTACTATGCATGTTAAAAAATATTTTTGTGTTTTGAAAGTAGTTATATTGGAGGGTCTTTATTTTCGCGAATTTTTTTACAATCGTGAAAAACGCGAAATTAAAAACCCGCGATTTTGAGTACCTATAAGGTATAAAAAGAGTTTGTGTTCAATAAGCTTTTACTTTTGGCAAAACAGGCACCTTTCCTTTAGAATAACATAATTCAGTATACCGATTCCTTCGTTTGACAGCACGATGTAGGAAGAAAAATTGATGTAACCTTGTCATGGCACATACAATCTTCTTCAAACGACTTGCCCAAACGAAAGTTTGCTCTCCAGCCATAGTGTTGAACTGTGCAGGAATCTTATTATCTGGGTTGTAAAGACGCTTACATCTTGAATCTTTATGATTTCTGAGATGCAAGCGATCAATGACCTTGCCAATATTACTCCACGCTTTATTTAACCCTTGCGAAATGAATTCCCAGCTTTCTGGGAATTCCTAGGAATTCCCAAAAATTCCCAACTATGCAAATCAGCCTTCATCAAATAAGCTTGGAATTCTTGAGAATTTTTGGGAATGGCAAATTAGGTCTCACTCTAGGCTTGGAATTCCTAGGAATTCCTAGGAATTCTAAGGGTTACAATTTTAGAAGCTTAAGAATTGTTGAGAATTTCTGGGAATAGAAAAATTCAGGCCAACTGGGCTTGGAATTCCTGGGAATTCCTAGGAATTCTAAGTTATGCAAATTAGGAATTCAGCTCAGGGATGTTTAAAAATCAGAAAGACTTTAAAAATTGTAGAAGATTTTGTAGTCTTTTCTTATTTTTTCACATTTTAATTTTAAGTGATTGCACTGAAACAATTCTAAACTTATAATACAGAACATACTGGTAATGTATACTTCTATACTTACATTCTTATATTCAACTCAATGTTACCTTAAATCTGGTAATGCTGACATGTGGCGAATGCTGTTCACAAACCTCCAACCAGTATTTAAATTAAGATAACAATTTAACGTATCTAAATTACATTATTACAGCATATTACAGCAATAAATATTTAAAGCTGTTACATGTCCAGTACACTTTCAGTGCAAAATGTTGTCTGAAATGAGAAGTCTCGTTTTTAAAAATATGAAGTGCATTTCCAGTCTGAAATGTACGTTGTTTATCCACATACTCCACGGAAAATAGGCAAACGCACAAGACATGGGCTGTCTTGATTCCCTTCAACCCTTGCATCAGGAGTGCAGTCAAAAGCCCGGAACAACACGTTTTTCGTCGCAGTTCTTTGATTGATAATGTGGTCCAACATTCTTTCCCAACTTAAAAGAACAACGTTAAGTTTACTTCTTGCTTTTAACACTTCAAATGCGTTGCTTCATCTTAATTGACGTTGAAAATAACTGCTATTTCGACCCAAACGGGAGCACTTCGCAAGATGGACCTCGCAAGATTAGCCGCCATGTTTTCTTGTTTCCCAGGCTTCCACGCGTGCCTTTGCCACATGCGCGTTTTGATTTACTTTGTCACGTGCGACTTTTGAACCAATAGAAAAGTGCCAAATGAACTTCCGTTGAATAGTTCAAATTCACGCGGACTTCACAAGCAACAAAGTATTTTCGTAAGACTGTCTTTCTTTTATCCATGTTATTTTCGAGACAAATTGATCAATTGCGAAGTTTGTGTTCACATAAAGCATGTTTGCAAGTGAGTTTACTCAGCTGGATTAATGTGGAAAGGTATGTTTTCTAATAACTTTGCGTAAATAAGCTTACAAAGTTCAAAGATGCATGTGAAGATAATTTATGCCATTGATCAGATCCCTTTTTGCTGCTTTTTGTTTACTGCAGATCGAAAGAACTGTACTCTTTGTTGCAAATAGTCAGTGGAATACTCTGAAAACTGTATGTTCTGGCGCTACAAGGTTATAGCCGACTTGTCAAGACCAATGTTAGATAAAATAGGAGAAGAAATAGCATAATAAGTATAAGTTTCCAATGGCTACTTATACAAGTTAGAAGCAATGAAATTTCCAGTTAATTTATAAGGACTTGAGACTTGAACTTACATATAGAATATTAGAATACAGCTGGTAGGTTTGTTCATTTGAACTTTAATTCATAGTATAGGTTGCATAAGGTTTTATATTAAATGCTTCTGGTACATGTAATCTTAATAATCGCCGCAATATTAAGGTAAAAAACAACTAGCACTAGCACTTGCCTGATGTGTGGACCTTCAGTTCAGAAGGCTGCATCGGCGACATTGGAAAAAGCAGTCATTTAGCTTTTTTTCATATTCATGCACTGTATTAATTATTCGAAGATGTTTATTTACATGCATGTGTGTGGAATGTGGTGATGTGTATGTTGGGTAAAATAAATTACAAAAAAGAGAATGTTCAGCTGATGTTGTCATTTGGATTAAAAACAAACACTATCTGTAGATTCCACCAACAGGGTATGTTTTTATATTTTTTTTTCAATCATGACTAGGTATATGTTACTTTACATTATCTCACTATCTAGAGATTCCACCTGAACAGGTTATGTTTTACATTTTTTCAATCATGACTATAGCGATAGTTTACTTTAGACTACATGTATATCTATGTGTAAGTATATCTATATCTAAGTTTATTCATATGTTTATACTACTACATGAGAAATTTCTACAATTTGATTGGCTGAGAGAAGTGGTATTTCAGCTTAATTTGAAATACCTACATGTGAAAATTACAAACCTTTTACGGGTAGTAGTATAAACAAATAATAGCATGATTTGTCGTGATATTTCAAAATTGTCTCAAATTTCACTCGCCTAATGGCTCGTGAAATTACGTATAACAATTTCAAAATATCACTCGTGGTATTTATGCCAAATATCACTACTAATCATGCTATTACATATACATATAAGGACTACAGTCATTATACTGAATTATTTGATTCCTACTTCACAAAAAGTCATTGTCTTAAATTTGATTTTTTTGAGGTCACTGTTGTAATTTTTGGAACATTTAAACGATCAGTGCAGTGAAATGTTTAAGTCAAGTTAAAGCAGAAGAAGTATTTTTTGTTAACATGGAGAACTATTTTTCAGTTATTGTTGGAATAAACATTGCTTCAGTTTTTGTACATTTGCCTTATGGGTTTCTGGTTCGGAGAGCAAAATAGCAACTTCTAGTATTAACTTCCTTAACATAAGGGTTTAAATGCAAATCAGTTTTTGATTCGAATATCCCTTAATTCCGGCAGCAGGTCGATTTGTTACATCCCTATTGACCTAGCTATTCCAAGCTATTCCAAGGAATTCCTAGGAATTCCTAAGAAGTAATCATTCTGTTTATATTCTTTCAATTCCTAGGAATTCCTAAGAATTCCTAGGAATATTTTCCAAGCCAACTGATGGGTAAGCAAAGCTTGGAATTCCTAGGAATTCTTAGGAATTCCATGTTCCAATTACCGTGAAATTTCACACCTTGATTCCTAGGAATTCTTAAGAATTCCTAAGAATTCCTAAGAATAAATTCTTAGGAATTCTTAGGAAAATCCTAGGAATTCCTAGGAATTCTCAATTCCATTTCGCAAGGGTAAGCGGCGCTGGAAATGGTAGTTCCTTCTTCGAGATTTTTAGACTGTCCACGTGGCACATATTGTCATAAGCTAAAGTTACTGAGCTTACTGCCTTTGTTAAATCAGCTGACGATTTTCCAATGTCCTGAAGGGCCTTGAACTTGCGATACAACCATATAATCAGGATAAGGTAAGCTTGTGTAGGAGATTCTGATCTAAGTGATTGAAGAGAACTTTTGTCAAGAGTCATTTTTTTTTTTTAAGAATTTCTTTTTGTTCAGAGAAATCGGAATTACTGTCAACAAATGTTTGACCCGGCTTTTTTTTAGACTTTTTACACACTGACTTTTTGTTGTTAATGTTACTTGCAATCAGCGTACCTGTACAATGGCTGCCAAAATTCAATATGTCCACCTGAGCTAACAATAAAAAATATCCCTCTTGACCAACAGTGAAGCGTTTTCTTTCCTCCAGTATCCTTATTGCAACTTACTTCCAGCTCTTGTTCCTAGGAGTCAATAAACCCGGGATGAGATTGTAAAAAATCTGATGTTCCTAGTTTGGAAAGGATAATGATATTAATGTTTTAAAAAGGAGGAAGAGTTTATAGTTCGAGGGTACCTAGTGACAATAATCTTGAAATTACAGACATCCCACTCTGTGGTGAATTCTTAAATATGGCTAACTGTTTACAAACATTGCAGTGCTATTGAAATGTTATTTTATACCTTGATAACTTGAAGCATTCTCATCGTCAGGGCGGTTGCTTCTTGTTTTTGCACATTTTTCCAAAGCCTCCTCGACAGCATCAACGACTTGCGAGCTTGTGCTTTTGCCTGTGCCAGAAAATAACCAATCTTTCTTCAACACAAAACTATTTATTTATGTACACAAGAGGTTCCAAAAAAAGTAGTTGACTTACACACACCTGCACTGAAATAATTAAATGAAAACAGTTATCACGTGTCGTTTGTATTCGCAAATCGTTTATTAGAAGTGAAATTCTCTACATTGTCTCGGCCAATGTTACAATGCTGTTGATCTTTGTCTTGACTTTTTGTATAAATCCTGAAACTGTATTCAGTTAACAGAGATTTAACCGCAACAGGGGCTAAAAAGAAATACCAGCGACACTTTATTACAGAAGGTTTTCAGAACAAATCATGTACCAGGTGTACTTCCTTGGTAAATTCTATAAACTTCCCATAAAAGGTTCGACCATTCTCTAGTTCGTTTAAAGGAAACATAATGACTTTATTATAACTCTCACCCCTTCCCCCCCCCCTCCCCCTCACCCTCGAGAAAAGCAAATTTGGTAAGAATGTATGAAAGGTTTGGTAAAAATTAACACAGCATGGATTCTGGCAAAAAAGACAAAAAAAGAGGCATATTGTCCGTTGGAGATTTCACGAAAATGGCCAATTTGAGAAAATGGGAAATCTGGCAAGAATCCTTCAAAGCTTTGGCAAAAACTCAAATGAGGTCACAAAGAGGGGAATCTTGCCAAATGGCAGTTAAATGAAAATGGAAAATTTAGACAAAAATGCCAAATTTCGGCAGAAATGGCGAGTAAGCCAAGTATTCTTAAAAGGTTTGGCCAAATATTCAGAGAGGTGTCAAAAAGGGGCATCTTGACAACTAATAGTGGGTTTCACGAAATGACAAATTTGGCAAGAGTTTACAAAAGGTTTGGCAAAAATGAAACCAATATGAAAAAACAAGCACGTCGATAATTGTGAGTCTTACGAAAATGATAAATTGCGAAATTGGCCAGTTTGGCAAGGATTCATGGAAGGTCTGACAAAAAAAAAAATAGTGAGGCAATAAAAGAAACATATTGACAGCTGGCAATTTCCACGAAAATGACTAATTTGGGAAAATGACAAATGGAGAATTGAGAAAGACTCCATCAAACGTTTGGCAAAAGCTAAAATGAAGTCACAAAGAGGGGAATCTTGACAAATGGCAGTTAAATGAAAATGGAAAATTTAGACAAAAATGCCAAATTTCGGCAGAAATGGCGAGTAAGCCAAGTATTCTTAAAAGGTTTGGCCAAATATTCAGAGAGGTGTCAAAAAGGGGCATCTTGACAACTAATAGTGGGTTTCACGAAATGACAAATTTGGCAAGAGTTTACAAAAGGTTTGGCAAAAATGAAACCAATATGAAAAAACAAGCACGTCGATAATTGTGAGTCTTACGAAAATGATAAATTGCGAAATTGGCCAGTTTGGCAAGGATTCATGGAAGGTCTGACAAAAAAAAAAAATAGTGAGGCAATAAAAGAAACATATTGACAGCTGGCAATTTCCACGAAAATGACTAATTTGGGAAAATGACAAATGGAGAATTGAGAAAGACTCCATCAAACGTTTGGCAAAAGCTAAAATGAAGTCACAAAGAGGGGAATCTTGACAAATGCCAAATTTCGGCAGAAATGGCGCGTATGCCAAAAAGTTATCAAGGGTTTGGCCAAATATTCAAATGAGACGACAAAAGGGGCATCTTGACAACTAATAGTGGGTTTCACGAAATGACAAATTTGGCAAGAGTTTACAAAAGGTTTGGCAAAAATGAAACCAATATGAAAAAACAAGCACGTCGATAATTGTGAGTCTTACGAAAATGATAAATTGCGAAATTGGCCAGTTTGGCAAGGATTCATCGAACGTCTGACGAAAAAAAAATAGTGAGGCAATAAAAGAAACATATTGACAGTTGGCAATTTCCACGAAAATGACAAATGGGGAATTGAGCAATACTCCATCAAACGTTTGGCAAAAACTAAAATGAAGTCACAAAGAAGGGAATCTTGACAAATGCCAAATTTCGGCAAAAATGGCGCGTATGCCAAAAAGTTATAAAGGGTTTGGCCAAATATTCAAATGAGACGACAAAAGGGGCATCTTGACAACTAATTGTGGATTTTACGACAATGACAAAATTGGCACGAATTAAAACAACGTGACAAAACAGGCATGTCGATGATTTAAAGAATGTACGACTATAGAATTTAGCATGGATTCATCAAAGTTCTGGCAAAAAAATCAAATGAGACAACAAAAGAGGCATATTGTCAGTTGGCGATTTTGACAAAAACGCAAATGGGACAAAATGGGGAAATGGGCAAGAATCTGAAAACGACAAATTTTGAAAAAAAAGGCGAATTTTAGGAGCATTTTTGATCCAAGCTCTGGGAAAATGGCCTGTTGCAGGAGCCGATTACAATTGAGTTCGAAAATCGAACGTTCGATTTTGTTTCAATCGAATATTTTTTGTGAGTTGGATTTCGTTCAATGGCCGATCTGCGAACTGCATCGCACTCTTTCGTCTCCTGCCTGTTGATAACTAGCGGTTTTTAAGTTAAGAGAATTACATCTTAGGCGGAAATGACAGATTTGGCAAGAGTTTAAGAAAGGTTTGGCAAAAACGAGACCAATATGAAAAAACAGGCACGTCGATAATTAGGAGTTAAAAAAACAATGACAAATTGCGAAATTGGCGAACTTGGCAAGGATTCATCAAAGCTCTGACAAAAACTTTAAATGAGACAGCAAAAAAGGGATAATTAAAAGTTGGCGATTTCCACGAAAATAGCAAGAATCCATCAAAGGTTTCGCACCACTAAAATGACCTGACAAAGAGGGGAATCTTGACACACGCCAAATTTCGGCAAAAGTGGAGAGTATGGCATCAAGGGTTTGGCCAGATATTCAAATAAGACCTACGACAAAAATCATCATATTGCGGATTTTACGAAAATAACAAATTCGGCTAGAAGTTATAAAAAAGGATTGGCAAAAATTGGAACAAGATGACAAAAATGGCAAAAAAGGTTTGGCGAAAACGAGGCGGACAAAAAAAACAACCCGACAAAACAGGTATATCGATAATGAAAAATAATTTACGATTGGAGAATTTAGCATGGATTCATCAAAGGTCTGCCAAAAAAATTAAGTCAGTTAACGATTTTGACAAAAATGTAAATTTGACAAAATGGGGAATTGGGCAAGAATCTCAAAATGACGAATTTTGCGAAATTGGCGAATTTGTGGCCAATTTTTGATCAAAGGTCTGGGAAGATGGCCTGTTGATAACTAGCCGTTTTCAAGAGAGGGGCAACTTAGGCGAAAATGGCGAAGTTACCAAGAATTTATCAAAGCGTTGGCAAAAATAAAAACAAGATGAGAAAAGAAGCATGTCATTTATTGTGGGTTTTTACAAAAATGCCATTTCATTTTTCAAAATCAACGAACTATGGGAAATATTCCATCAAAGGTTTGGCAAAATTCAAAAGAGACGACAAAAGGGGGCACCTTTTACAAATAGCGATTATAATAAAATATGAAATTTAGACGAAAAAAGGCAAATTTCGGCAAAAATGGCGAGCATGCCAAAATTCATCAGAGGTTTGGTCAAATATTCAAATTAGATGACACAAAGAGGCACGTTGACAGTTGGCGTTTTTAGGAAGATGACCAGTTTTGCGAAAATGGCGAATTTGGCAAGAAGGAATCAAAGGTTGCAAAAAAGTTAAAACAGGATGACAAAAAGGGGAATCTCGGCAAATGGCTATTATAACAAAAGTGGCAAATTTGGCAACAATTCATTGAAGCTTCGCATAAATTCGACTGAGATGACAAAGGAGACAGGTTGACTGTTGGCGTTTTTTGCAAACATTTCAGATTTGGCGAAAATAGCGAATTTTGCAAGGCTTGTCTAAAATTTGGGAAGAATTCCTGAAAGGTTTGTACAAAATTCAAATGAGATGAAAAAAAAAGGCTATTTTGACAAATAGCGATTTTTCAAAATTGGCCAGTTTTGCCAAAAAATGGTGAACTTGACAAAAGTTTATCAAATGTTTGGCAAAAACTCCTAAATGAGTCGACACAAAGAAAACTTGTGAAAATTTGGGTACCAGTTGAAATTGAACCTCGTGTAGTCAAAGATCTAATGGTACTGAAATTACAGAGAAGTATTTGACAATCGACGTGACATTGTTGTAAAGAACAAACAAAGCATTTTTATTGTCGTTGACGCAGCTATATCCGCTGACTGAAATACTTCCATCGAGGCATCTAGATGGAATAAACTAATTAATAATACCGTACTGAAAATAAAGATTGAACGAATGTGGCCATTCAAAACACAAGTAATCACTGTGGTCATAGGTGCATCAGAAGTACTCCACAAAAGAACTTTTTTAGCTTTTTTTTGGAAATAGCCTTTGTACAGTCACCCTCTCCCCTCAATAAATGAATCGACAGGGGAAAAGATCAGTTTTTAGCATCATTTTTTATTATTGTGAAAGGTTTGAACCCAGGAGTCATTTCAAAAGGTTGAATTTGATCGTCCGGGTGAACGTAGTCCTGAATAGGACTGTTGTTGTTGACAGTGACTGACGTTTCGACAACCTGTGCGGTAGTCATCTTCAGAGTCAAATACCATCTACTGACGTGATACAACTCACTTTGACTCTGAAGATGACTACCGCACAGGTTGTCGAAAGGTCAGTCACTGTCAACAACAACAGTCCTATTCAGGACTACGTTCACCCGGACGATCAAATTCAACCTTTTGATTTTATATTAAGTTTCCCGCGAAACATCACACATACTTTTTTCTTGTTTTCTATTCTTGCTGATGAAGATGTGCTGCTGGACGAGGTCGTATTTTCAAGACTGGATCAGCTATAATGTGGTTCAATATTGTAATGGTGTCGCACATTTTCGAGATTTAAAAAAAAATGCTAAGTTGGATACGGTAAATGCATAGGAAGAAAGAAACTACGTTGTGATCGCAAAAATTATACCTGTTAAAAAGTGGATAAGATGGCTTCTATGGGGTCCACAGAGTTCCGTAGACAAAATAATGGGGCAGTGGTTGTGAAAGACCATCGGCACCAACCCAGCAAAAATTAGGTCAGTTTGAAAGTGGGGATTCAGAGAAAGATACCAGCCCAGGAAAGTAAAGACTTCCAAGTTTTGGTTGACAGGACATTCACCCACCTATTTACTTTAGAACATCAATGCCATCACAGTGCAAATTAAACCGTCTGTGATTTTAAACAGTGAGATTTGCCGATTAACCTCATCTACAACCAATGAACGTACTCCTCCCATAGTATAACCTTTTCCGTTTCGACCAACTGCACGGACTAATAAGAACTGTCCTTTTTTAAAAGACAAAGACATCTTTTGAAATAACATATGCCTTTCAAAAGATGGGCCTTGTTACAAAGTCTTATTTTGCGACATTTCAAACTATGGTGCTGTTTCGATACCACAGTTTGCGTTATTGCAATATACGGGGCGTTTAACTCTTCTGTTCTCAGCTCACAAATCACGTCCACTCAATTGACCTGATCGGCGTCAGGAAGTCATTCCTGGCAAAAAAAAAGGTGCACTTTACCGGGACCAAGGTTTGCGTTGACGCATAATGTGGTCTGACAATTGTGACGTATTTTGCGTTAACTCAATCTGTGTTCCATGTTTTTAAGACCAAGGTTTGCGCCAAAAAAATGTCGCTAACCATATCGAACCTAAAGAGTCACATTTTGGAATAAGTCGTTCCGTGTCCTTCAAATAAACAGGGCAACCCAATGACTGCGTCGTCCCTCCAAATACATTGAAAACCGCACTTTTCAGGCTTCCAAGAGTACAAATAGATCTACAAGGGCTTCAGTACTTCATTACCGTAAAATTCCAAACATAATCCGCGGGCTTATATTTTTCAAAGACCCTTTTTGAGGGGCTTATTTTTGGAGGGGCATATTAACAGAGGGAAATTTGCGTTTTAAAATCGGTTTGGCTTATAGTTGGAAATTTGCGTCTCAAAATCGAGGGGGCTAGCTCATAGTTAGAAGGAAATTTATTTTTGGAGGGGCATATTTTCAGAGAGAAATTTGCGTTTTAAAATCGGCTAGCCTTATAGTTGGAAATTTACGTCTCAAAATCGAGGGGGCTAGCTCATAGATAGAAGGAAATTTATTTCAGTAATTTGCAGAAAGTGATTAATGAAACTCGTCTTAAGGACTTAGACCTTAATAAAACACAGCCATGCAAGTAGTCCAAGTATAATTTGTCTATATGGACCGAAGAAATCCAAGCCATGAGTAAGGAGTGAATTACGCAAATAGAAATAAACTGTGACACTTTCTGACCTGCAATCATTTGGGGCATGTCATGGTTCTTTGGCAGAGACAAAAATTTATTTATTTTTGCTTTCTTTTATTTTGTATTTGAGGGCAATTTCCAAGTTCAAGGCCCCCCCCCCGGGGGGGGGGGGCTTGTATTCGGAGGGGCGATTTTACAGAGGACGATTTTTTCTGTTACGAATATGGTATATTTGGAGGGGCTTATTTTCGGAATTTTACGGTATTTTCCCGAAAATTTTAGATGCAAATTAACGTATTACGAAAGTGAGAATTTTTCTGGTTCCTCTCTCCATCACATCATTTTAGGTTTCCTTTTTGGTAAGAAAGATAAGCCTAACCTGTGAAGTACAATGGAAAAAGGAACTCGTATAAAATCGTAGGGAATTGATTAGATAAGCGTCAAAAATTGTACGTAAATGAAACGATTACCTAGAAATTTTTAGCCGTCCTCAAGTCCTCAATATTTGCCTCTCCGAACAGCTATTTTACAGAAAATTCTCTTTGGGTTCCCCTGAATTTTCAGTATTTTGCGACAGCGCGAAATGTCAGTTCCCAGATCGTGAACTATTTATAGGCTTCGCTTTTCAGGACAGGATTTGAGTTGTCGCAAACTGAGGACTGTGGAAAGAAGTCACATTTTGCGTTAACTCAATCTGTGTCCTACCGATCAATCACCGAAAGTCACACACCCAGCTTCCTAGAAAAAACTAGTGAGTTTACAACCGTTCAGTCGTCATCTTAAAAACGGAAACACTGGCTGTTTCCTGCGACAATCAAGAATACAGCACAATCAGCGAACTTACGCATTTTACGCTAAAAAGATCTGTCTTTGAACGCTTGATTTGCATAATAAACAGAAGCAGTTAGTGTCATATTTTAGTAAGCGTTCGCGTTTTATTCGATTTCATTTATTCATAAGATGCAGAGTTGCTTATGATCTGTATATGGACTTAGATTGTGAAAATATTTTAAACAAAGCGATTTGACTTGTCCTCTCCGGCAAGTCTTAGCTATCTTACCGGACATGGGCTAAAATTAAGTTGATCGGTACTTAAATGAGAGACAGAGTATAAACTGCAGAATCCGCTCTTCATATTTTTATAACATGTAAAAACGTGAAATTTAACGTTAACAACCCACAGCCGGTATTGTTTTTTCGAATTCTTAATGTAAAATGCCAAAACAACGTCAAATATACTCTCCTCCGCAGCCTTAAAATCCGCGATTGTGTTGTTGATTCGGCCGCCATGTTTACTTCACTTGCAAGGCAAATTTTACTACCCTCCCCGACCCGCTAAAATTGTAAATTTTGCTCGAAGACCAAACTGCAACGGAGGTTCTTTTCCAGTTCCATGCCGCGACTACTACGATAGATCGCATGACCTGATTGGCTTGCATATCACATTACGTCAGAGGACATGTTCACAAGATAGGACATAAGTACAACGGTACATTTGACATGCGGTTCTCCTCAGGTATCAATTCCAACCGAGAGGGGCTGGGTATGAATCCCTTTATTATGGGATAAACAACAGGAGGCCCACATAACCAGAAAGAGCACATTGAGGTTAGCAACATTCTCAAGCTTAATGTTTATTGGGCCTATATCGAATGAGATACAACAATTCAAAAACTCCAAAATTTACTGAGAAATATATAGATGTCTGGAGGGTGTGTCCTGCAATCCATGCATACATCACTTATTAATTTTCAAGTTTATAAATAGCTGTATCTTGTCCATTATTGGCCTGATTGACACCAGACTTGAGATTTTTCCTAATCTCAATTGTCTCTTCCTGACTACTTGACAGTAGGTCTCCTGTTGTGTATCCCATGACAAACCAACCCATACTCATCCCTCCTTGGTTTGAAATTTGGCAAGACACTAGCCTAGGCAGTAGATTCTGATATGATAACTCCTTTGTAAAGAAAAATTGAGATTTGAAGGAAGATAGCGATTCCAAGTTCATTGTAAGACAACCTGGCAGTAGATATACTGTAGCTAGGATCCATGGTGAGTTGAACCTGCACTGGCCTGATTGTGCATTTTATTTTTGTGAGAAGAGAGCAAAAGAGAGTGCCTGATACCTATATATGACACCTATATATCCCACATATAGCATTAACCCCCACATCCCCCCCCCCACCCCTCTGCTCCCGGGTTAAAACCCTAGGATCATGAAGATGGATCCCATCAGCCAATCTAAGTGCACTTCATTATTTTTATCAGATATTAAAAGTGTGAATTTGACTCCTCTTGCAGGTATGGAATGGAAACTTTTTCTCATTTGATTGTAGATGGAAATTTGATAAACAGTACAGTCAATATTGATGATCAACCGCAATATGTGCACAGGGGCCTTATGTTACTGACACTGGGTGAGCATCATGCATTCATCTCTCAATAATTTATAATTCAGTGGTGGTTGAAAGGTTGTGTTGCTATTGATTGTATATTTTTTACAGGCGAAGGTATTTTCCGTTTGAGCTTGTGAAGAACATTTTGGACGGCATGAGCTTTGTGAAGTTAAATGTGCTTCACTTGCATATATTGGACTGGTGTAGATTCAGTGTACAGAGCAAACTGTGAGTATTCAAAGTACAGTCGAAGCTCTCATAAGCAACCAAGCAAAATGGCAAGAACTCACTGATTTCTAATGAAAAATGACCCTATCCCAGACTTAATTGCTTGAAAACCATTCCCTTCACAGCGGCACATGTCGAATAGTTTATATCCCATGTATTTAAGTACCCCCTGGTACCACCCGGTTGAGTAGGTGTTTATCATTTTGGGGAGGGATGAAATACGAGCTCCCCTAAATAAGCCTGCATGAAAGGCTATCCGAAACTGTGCCTTGAGTTAGTAATTCATTCTTTGGATTGTAGGAATGTTACTTTTTGAAATTGAAATACAAAATTTATGTTATTTATGTGTTTCATCTTTTCTCTTATTCTTTTCAGTTACCCAGAACTACAAGAACACACAACTCAGTTTTATACCCAGGAGCAAATCAAAGATTTAGTATCTTATGCTGGTGACAGAGGAATAAGAGTTATTCCAGAGGTTGAATCAGCGTAAGTTTGCAATTAAAAATCAAGAAGGGTAGCATAGACCTTAAAAAGCTTTGTTTATGCACGGCTAGTCTCATTATCTATACGAGGCTACCTGTGCACGTGCACAAACAAAGCTTTTTAAATCTCCTGCTCAGACAAAATGGCCATCACTTGACAAAGGTCTAGTGCGGCATTTTATGGCTGTGGAGGGGTGGGGAAGGGGAGGGGGGCAAGAGGCTTGTACCAAACACTAGACTGCAAAAAAGTCTGTATTTTTTCGTATTCAAGTACACGTGAGCAGTCAAACAAAAGGTCTGGAACGAGGCTGAAACATGGGCGTGTGAGGCTCACGTGCTTTGCACGCACAAGACTCTTATGCCACGCTTTACCGATTTCTTTACTGATTTTGAGAAAAAAACCGACTGTTTTGTAGTCTAACCAAACACTAGATTCCCTTGCACACTCTGTCTGTGATAGAACAGTCAGCTACTTAGTAATCAGTTGATAATATTGCCCTACTTCAACAAAGAAACATTTTTTTCAGTAATGGAGGGTGGAAAGGCTCTGAAACATCAAGTCCTTATGTACATGGACTGTAATAATTAGTGTCAGCATGTCTGTGATCCATGTGTAATAATATTGCTATGTTTTACAAGTCTTGTATAGGTTGTTCCTATTTCCCCCCCTCTGGAAGCAAACAAAACACACTTACTTGTTTGTCAGTTGGTTTATTTCACATTGTTATGTTATATTTGTTATTATGCAGTTCCCATGTTGCTGGAATGATTGGTCTGATCAACAAAACAAAAGGACTGAGATTCTGCAATGATTCAGGATTTCTTGAACTCTATAATGACCCACAGGTAAGATTAACCCTTTAAGCCCCAATATCCACATACAAATTCCCCAAACTGATCTCCATACATTTCCTTTAAGAATTAGTTAAGAGAATTTGATAAAAGATCAAAGTATTTTCTCTAAGGCGATCATTTTATTAATTCTCATAACCTCATCTACTGACAATGTATGGATATTGTTAGGAGAAAATTGCTGTTGGTCACTATTGGGACTTAAAGGGTTAACTGCAATCAACTCTCAGAGTTTCCATTCAAAATATCCATGACTACTGATGACTATTGCTGATTTTCTGTTTGGCTACATAAGAAAATTTTTTTACCAAGGAAGGTAAACCTCGAGATTTCTATTGACAGGCAGTTGACAAGGCTGATTAAAGCGCTGAGTGTACTACCAAAGCAAATAGAAAAAGTGGAGACTGTTGGAGCCTTCTCATTGCTTTAATTTTTTAAAGTCTTCTCATGCCTGTCTAATAATCTACTACAAAGCTGAATTGATGTGCTATTTAATAGCAAAGTTTTCAAGAAAGTAAATAAATCCATTGTTTTTTGTTCATAAGGAGGCCCTGCCGGGGGGGGGGGTCAATTATGTTGCCCATCTGAATTTTAAAACGTCTCGTGTCGGTATTTATAAATGCTTGTCGCTTATTGTCGGCTTTGCCGTCACTGTCGCAGTTTGGCTGAGGGAGGTTGTCTCTTGTCACGATTTCATTTTACGCACTGTCGCTACTTTTTGGGCCACGTCGCTTGTCGGAATTTACCCTGGCAGGGCCTCACTAAGTGTTATTGGGTTATCTGGTTTCCCCTCAAGACTTGGCAAAAGTCGTCAAGTTGAAGTGTTCTCTATTAAATTATTACAAAACACCAATTAATCAATTAATTATGTAGCAGATATAACACTAAAAGCCTCTTTTCATAAGGCTTGATTAGTTTAAAAAATATAATTTATCATTATGAGAAGGTTTTTGTGTAGTTTGAGTCCTTTAGTTAATACATGTTAGCAGTGTTTGTTTACTTAGACATGTATATGATATCCAATTAGTATTATTATTATTACTATAATAATAATAATTATTATTATTATTATTATTATTATTATTATTACCATCACTTTTATTAATGAGTCTTATGGTGTACTTGCTTCGACAAGGGAGTAACTCTTACCACAATGAAAAATATCCTTGAAGAAATGATGACATTGTTTCCAGACCAGTTCTTTCACCTGGGTTTAGATGAAGTCACAACATCCACTTTGTGCAGCCTACAAAGTAGGTTAATTTAAGTACAGAAAGTTGATTGTGGCATAATGAAAACTTTGAAACATATCTGCCAATTCATCCCTCTTTTAACTTTACATGTATATGTTTGTACTTAGCTTTTTATCTCAGGTAATAATTCGTTTTCTTTTGTTTTTGGATACGTCAATGTATGCTAATGAAGTTGAAACAAAAGAAAAACAAAATTACCTAAGATAAAAAAAATAGCTACAAAAAGGGATTTTAGGTTGACGTTTGTTACTAATGAATATATGATTAAATTATAACTTCTCATTTTGAAATAATTGAAGATAGTGTGGTTTTTCATTAATAGCTATATAAGGACAGTTTTGAGAGGACGCATTTATTTGAAAGTTGGTCAAATGCGACAGAAGGATTTTTTGTCTACATGACATTTTTATTTTTTGTTTTAAACTACAGAATAAGAATCTTTTGATTTCAATAATTGAAATCAGTCTTATGGTGTATCATAAAGAGTGATTGACTACGGCCCTCATTTGGGGACAGCACTTATTAATTACCTCTTTGTCCAAAATGCGACAGTTAATTGAGTGAATACTGGATGCAAGCTTTTATAATGACTTATGATTTCATCATTATGATTTTAAGTTTGACATAGTATGTTGTCAAGCATTACTTGGGGCAGCGACAATTTTTGGAAAATATCTGTTCGGAAGACGATTTGAGATCTAGAATTTTCGGAACATTTTCTGTAAAATTTCTTGCTTGCCTGCCTCTCCCAGGATTTTTGAACTTCTAAAAAATGGTATAATTGCCCATTTTTAACGAAATTTTAACCCTTAGAAGGTCACCTAGAATTTTCGGGAGCCTTTTTTCTGGCTGAAATTTTCGAAAAGGTAAATTTTGATCCCTATAATTTTCGGATCACTAGACTTTCAGCTAGGAAATCCGAACAGATGAAAAATTTCTAGGGGATAAAAATATGCCTATATCTACCGTTTAAATACTAAAATACGTTTAACAATGCTATGTTTAAGTGGTTTTGAACTATATTCTCGTTGGGTGCTCCTGTTACTTCAGGTGAAAGCAAATCTCTGTCAATGCAATAACTTGGGTGGTTATTTCTACGCAGATACCAAAAGCCTAGAGCAAGAACTAATGAAGTTTCTATAGTACAGAAAGGAAAAATTCCATATGCCTGGCAAGAGGCATTGATATCAACTTCTGCTGTAAGCATTATGTATTATACAATGTATAACATGCATCTTATTCGCCTGGGTGAAGAGCAGTGTTTTGTGAAAATGTCCATGCAGATTACTGGTTGTTATTAAATCTTATTTATTTATTTATGACTTAATCTTATTTATTTATTGTGATTTCATCATAGGCAATAAAAGGAACAGTGCTACAGGCATGGAAAGGCTCAGTAGTAAAAACCCTTATAGACGACGGATTTCAAGTGTAAGCAAGAAAGAAAGCTGACTGTATAATAAATGATATCAAGTTTGACAAATTAACAATATTTTTGATCGAGTAAGACTTGTAAAGTTGAACTTCTATTTAGTAATAAGTTGTTTTCCTCTAACAAAACTTTAATTATTAAACAAAACAAAAAAAATTGGCATTTCACCGATCCTTATTTGATCCGTTTGCGTTGGAGAGGTTTGTCTATATCAGTATTATTCATCTCCATCTTGTTTTTCCATTGAACAGGATCAACTCTCTGAGCGGCAATTTTTACCTAAGTAGCCTTGTGGATTTTAGTGCACTATGGACTAATATTTCAGCCAGGGTAACTATCATTTATAATAAGTCTTTATTTTAGTTCGATCTCATCCCCAGGGGCTTGTCGGTTTTGAAAACGAGAAGACCCTAGGAACAAGTTTGCAAATTTTCAGACAAATGGCCTCTATGAACAGAATTAAGTCTCCACCAGATTTCGGGATTTTACCATCTAATGAAAACTAAAACAAAAGATTTGAAGAGTTAATCCCATGTATTATTAGACAGTAGCATCAGACAAAAGGAAAAATAGTCGGTGAATAGTAAATTACAAAACCAAACCATTAATTGTTGGAATTCAATTAGTACAAAGACACGTTTTAGCTTAAAGGATAGCAAATATCACGAAACAATCCCTAAATATATCTTTTGCTGTGTCTGTTTGCATTATTTTGAAGTTAAATCCAGACGAGATGACACTTGTTCCTGGTGGTGAGATGGCCATGTGGACTGATGATTACTGCTTTGTAGATCAGTGCTTTCTGTACAAACGGGGAAAACCTGACGCATGGTGGATGTTTGGACCCGAGAGCGATTCACAGTTTACTGAGTCAGTGAGTGGAATTGTAAGTATCTCTGGTCGTAAATTAAGTAAATTTCCTCTTATGAGTGCCCCCTCCCCCTCCCCACTGAAAAGCGTCCCCACTGAGTTACAGGCCCATGTACCCGTAAACAAAACAATACATCCGCGGTTATAAGTCCCCCTCCCCCCCCCCCTTATAAGTTCCTCCAGTTACAAGCCAATTTACCTGTAAACAACAAAAAAATACGTCCAGAAAATTAGCCCCTGCCCGTACAGATGTAAGCCCCCTCCCCCCACTTATAAGTTCCCCCAGTTACAAACCCATACTTGTAAACAAAAAAAAATAGTTACATCCAGTTATTACTCCCCCTTCCTCCCACCTCGAAGTTCCCCCAGTTACAGGCCCATTTACAAACAAAGAATAATACATCCGGTTATTAGCGCCCCCCCCCTCCCATAGATATAAGCCCCCACCTCCCCCCACTTATAAGTTCCAGGCAGTATAATGCTAGAAAGGCCCTTTGGAACAAACTATCTCAACTAATTTTGTCAGCCAATTGTCGATAAAATGAACAGAAAACGGTGCACAATGCTGTTTGCAATGTGCACGCAATTAAGTGTCCACCAGATTTCTGGATTTTACCATCTAATGAAAACTAAAACGAGAGATTTGAAGAGTTAATTCCATATATTATTATTCCGGAATGCAGTTAATCGAGCTTGCTATTAAGAGAGCCAGCGCGGCAAACTTGGCGAGCCCGTCCCTTAGAATCAGGCCCTGATACAGAGGGTCTTAAATAGGTTTTCTCGGGACGCGGGATTTCTCTTATTTGAAGACCGGGACTCGGGATTTTGAAGCCGAAAGGGGCGAGGTTCGGGATTGAAAATGTGCTCGGGACGCGGGATAACCATCGGGATTGCGCGAAAATATAGGTCGGGATGACCTCATTAAAGTATTATATTGGGACACTCCGATATATACTTAATGAGACAATAAACTTTCAGATTTGGCCCAGTGCCATTGTTGGAGCTGGTTCATTTTGGAATTATCAGTCAAAACTAACTCCCGATAGCAAAGAGTTCGCGATGGTTATAGATACTCAACACAAGGTGAGCCGTTATGTTAGATTTATCGAGTAAGTTATAATTGTCCTGACCTGATTGGTCAAACGTATTGTGTACTACTGGTAAGGTCACAGAGCCAAGTTAAAAGCAATTGAGCGAACTTTCTGCTCACACTTCAACCGCCAGAGGGCTGGGAAAAGCGAATGAATCAAGGAGGAAAAAGTTGACTGCGCATGCCTTAACTTGGTTTTTGGCATCAGGATCAAAAACAAGCTTGATCGAAAAAATTAAAAAGGGAAACAAGCGTACCGATTGAATGATAAAACAATGAGTGAGCTCGGTTTGAAAAGAATAAAATCATGATTTCTTATTGCCTCACAGATCAATTATTTACCACCGCCCTCGTCATCGACCAATAATTGATTTGCTCGTAACAGTGACGAAACACATAACTTTTCTCTCCCCCCTCCAATTATTGTTAATTATTTGTTTTTGTAGAGAATGGTGCAACGTGGCATCCTTGCTTGTCCTTCCGGGTGTAAATGTGACGTCCTCACTAGATGTGGTCAAAAGTATCCAAAGCCCTATTGACTAATTCTTAGAATAAGTTAGCTTAGGAAGAGTGATTTTATGTGACATATCTTATTTATCTTATCGAGAACTCCACACACTGAAAGGTTTTTGGCTTAAGTTCACAAGTTTTGCGTCAAAATACCTGTTAGAATAGTTCTTGATGTGCTCTTTCTTGCGTTGAGGTTTTCTAAAGCGTCCTTAAATGCCCCGCCCTGACATCTTCATTCATAACATTTTGAATTTTCTACGCCATCTTGGCACTGAGACGTACGGAACGTTGCCATGGCAATTTTGTAATTTCACAAGTGAAATCATAAATTAACGCTGAAATTTCGCGCCAAAATTAAGGAGTAATCTGTCACCGGGTTCTCATGGTTACCTCCCGTGCTGCCTTGCGGCTCGCTTCTTTTGACCAGGCTACTTCCCCACACCCATCTACTGGCGAAGGATTTAATCAAGGACTAGCTACGTCATGTGTTCTGCCTCTGGAATTTTTTTTAAATTTTTGAAGTTTGTCTTTCCCATCCATGCTTATATCCTCAGCGTATCCTCAACCGTCCTTAATTCATTATAGTGACTAATAACTCTGTGCATGAATTTTTTGTTTTCCTTGCAAGTCCGTTTCCAAGATATCTTTTTTGAAATAAATTAATATACATATTGTAAATAAAATTAGTATACATTTTACTTACTGCGTGCCTTCTCATTGGCTAAGAGCCTACAGTTAATTTCGCAAATAAGGGCAACCCACGGATTAGTTAATTATCTGCTAGCAGATAACTGACTTGTCTTCAGGTTGCGCGCGCAATACATGATTTCCAAGAGCAATGTCAAACTATGTTTCGTGCGACGGTGTGTAGTTATTTTCTTCAAAACAATGTGTGATTAGTTTAGCTTTTTGTGATATCTGGAATAATCAAGTTCTCGGTAAATGTTATCAGCCTCAGCCTTCGGCTCGGCTGGTAACACCTGACCTTGATTATTCCGGATATCACAAAATCTCATTCAATAGGTGTTCAATATAGGCACTGGTTAACATGACCATGTTTGAAAATATGATTAAAATTTGCAGTATTGCATGCTTCTCGATTGATCAGGTGTGTACTTAAACTTGACTTTGCTCATGCCTGGAGGGGAAAATCTATAAATATTTACAATCGCCCCATTCACTATTTATGTGTTTTTGGGATGAGAGAAGATGGGAGATTGGAGAAAAGATTGAGGCGCGCGGGGATAAATAAATAGCGACTGGGTACGAGTCTAGAGTAGTTGGCCGAGAGGGACTGGGGAATTAATTCCCAATCCTCACTTCCACTTAATATTTACTTCCGTTTTTCTGGGTTTCACTCCTCCCTCTTACTCTTTTATTAACGCAACGGTTCGAATACCCGTTACCCAGTATTGATGAATATGCACAAAAGTTTCCTTTGCTGTTTCAAAGGTAAATCCCTGAATGGGGAAATTTGGTTTGAACACGTTTTTTGTTTTAGTGAGTCATTTGGCTGCCCAGATACCCGTGGCAAAGTTGTGGGTCACTACCATGGTACTCTTTGAAAATATAATGGAATGAGTTTTTGGTGCCTTTATGCTTCTTATCACGTTGTATGGCGAGATGAGGTCAAATGGTTTCATCAAACTTCTGCTTGAAAGTTGGGTTTTCTTGCTTGAAAACCGATTTACCTAGCGCGATAATTTGATGACAGAATCAGAACCTTGCCTCAAATTATGTGAAAAACGTCCTAGAATCGAAAATGTTTAGCGCCTTTAAGGAGGGAGTGGTTTGGTAATCAAATATTGACTATTCCAGTTCGAGGAGAAGTTGTTTTAAAATGGTTTAAGGCATCGAAGGGATCAACAATCACAGTAAACATCTCGTTTTCTTCAGGTTTAATACAACATAACTTATCTTAAGGTAACATCAGAAACTAAACATTGTATCGTGCTACGTGTTGGGATCAAGTAGAAGCAGTTCAACAAGCCGACCTAAAAGACAGTCACCCCATGTAAGGCAATCAAAGATAGTCTTGGATTCGGGATTCTACATCACGGATTCCGAATTACAGGTACTCGATTCCAGTCTTCGTCAGTGGAACTTGGATTCTCAATTCCAATTGCTAGTGGGAGTTCGGATTCTTTGAGCTGTACTCCGGACTCCAAAGCCTAGGATTCCGGATTCCACATGCAAATTTTTCCCAGATTGCGGATTCCGTTACATGTGGCGGTATAAGGGATGAACCATTAGGAAAGTAACGGGTTGGGTTGAATTTTTGGGAGGTCTATGAAAATTTTCTCTCTACTCCTGAGGTGGAAATCTATTTTTCCTCCTCGAACAGCTTTTTTGATCATGTTGCGTGTGGAGATTTTTTTCTCACTAATGCGTTTGCCTTTTCCCAACCTCCTACCCTTTTTCCTAATGGTGACATCCCTAAATTAAAGCAGCTCCTTTAAATAATATAACTGAGGGATGGCTAAAAGTCAATGGCCTCGAGAAAAGCAACCTAGAGGCAGTAAAAATAGGTCAGATTCTCGATAGAATGATGATAGCTTTAACGATTGCTGTAATTTCCAAACGCCAAACCTCAGAACGTTGCTGTGTACGTGTTGTGATCTGGAACTGATCTACTTGATAAAAAGCCCAACTTTTACAACCTAGCACAATTACAACAAAACATCATTAAGTTATTGTAGCGTCCAAATTCTTAATCTAATATCTTCCACTGTTTGGTTACTTTAAAGTCAACATCAATTAAAGCTGTTGGACCACTAACGCAATAATACACGAAAACGTTTTTTATGATTGAAATGACTCGCAGTAATTAAGAAACAAGATTAAGAGTTAAACCTAGTTTAATGGCAGAACAAATAGTCTACGAGTGCAGAGACAGAGGCGGACTCAGCTCCACAAGGAAGTGGTGGTGGAAAAATAGAGAAGGAAAATAAGTCTTGTTTTCGGATGAAAATTAGATTTCGGGCCCTTTTTCCTTTGTTTGCAGGCATAGAAGGACTATCTGGCAACGCTTTTCCTAAAAAAGGGTTATTAAAATAAAGCAAAAGTCACTCTATTGATTCTCAGACGGTCCAATTCGCCAGCAGTCACTCGCTCCTGTCTCTGGGCAGGCTATTCAGTGTATCGTCCAAAACTTACAGTTAAAACTACGAGCATATTCATTCCCAAACGTGGAAGGCAAAATGTTTACTCTTGTAGGAAACGCTAATAATTTATCCATATAAGTTAAACTCGTCTCTGAAATCCCATTTTACTTAAATTTAAAAACAGTTTTAATTAAGTGACACAATGTGTGTCCCAATATATAACATAAGTACAAAATGAAGACTGCAGACTGCTGTCAGTGGAAAGCATTGTTTTCATCATGCAAATGGGAACGTGACAACAATCGTCCCATTGACAATTGCATATGAAAGAAATCATATACGAGAACTGCGGAAATGAAATCGAATGATCCTCGCAGCTGTGAACGCAATTTATGCAGTTGCGTAAGAAGGCTGAAAAAAATACCGGTGCGACGCACCCTGAAAACAATGGTCTGCATTCAGTCTGCAGTCTGCATTTTGTACTGTCCACCAATTTATGCATTAAGGATCAACAAGACATGAGCATATTATTTTTTTTAAAAAAAGATATAACTAGTTCAGCTGGGAAACCGGGGATCAATCATACAAAACGTAATACACCCTTTGAACCCAGACCTTAAACCACTGAATTGTGACCAGCTGTTCAGAATCACGTTTCAGAATGTACAAAATACTTACAGCGCATACTTAAATTTTTAAGATTATCTGATTAAAATCTGAATCACCCTACTGAAACCACGGCCACACTTGTATATAGTTAATTGGTTCGTTTCCGCCCCGTTATGAGACTTGGGATTCTTAACCCTCGGACGTGCAACCCCTCCCCCCCTCCCCGACGCTTTTTTTTTTTTAGACGATAAAACATCAGCACCCGACGTTTCAGTGGCCGTTCGTTTATCCCTCGCGCGCATTTTGAGACAATTTTAGTCATGGTCAGTTACTATGGTTACGACACATGATGACTTAAGTAGCAGGTTGTCAAGCCATTTTTCAGTGAAAATGCCTGTTCTTACAACTTTTTTTAACAATAAAAGAAAAACCTGTGAATGAAATGATGCAAAGGGCTTATTTAAATGTTATTTTATATGTGAAGCACAGAAAATTATCATTTATCGCGATTTTAACCTGACTTCTAATTCTTGGTGAGATCCAAGATGGCGACCATTGTTGGTGACGTCACAGGCATCCAGCAACGCCACCACCCATTAAAAATAAACTTCATCTTGTTGAGTAGATCAAAGGCTTTCCACTGACGGCAAAATCGTTTTGAAATACTGCCAATTATCATGATCAAAAACTCTGGGGAGGGGTTCCATTCACCACTCCGTCTTATGCCACGGTTGTGGTATGAATTTGCGCGTACGTCTTAGGGTTAACCCTGTTAAATTAATTTGAATTATTTGTTTCAGTCATTTACTTTAAAGCCGAGGGGAAAAAACTGAAAAGGAATTATTAAGATTATGATGATGATTATTATTATTATCATCAATATTACAATTATTACAATGCAATTTTCCTTTGCCAAATTACAATTTGCTGGTTAAGGTAGGTTACACGAGAAAAGGGACAATCATCTGTACTACTATTCAGTCATTTTCGCGGGAGAAACGAAATACTTGTAAACAACGTTAAGTTCTTTCTCCACGAAAATTGTTTGTCTTTTTCCTAAGTTAAAATTGATAAGTGTAGCCGTGGCTAATATTGAGCTTCACAGTATACAGTATGCCCTTTGATTTACAACGTTTTTTGATGTTATTAATTAGAGAGATTTAGAGTTTCGTTTATACGGCAAACCGTGGGTTTGTACCACGTGACTAAGTGTTCCCTTTACTTCTCGAACTTGCTCGTTTGCTGTTAAATAAATCTACAAAAAATTGTTAGTTTCAAGTTAGTTTTATCCATAAGAATTGCTTTGAGCTGTTTTCATTTTATCTGCATATTTTCTATTTTGAGAAATTCTCAACTTGAATCTGTAGACGTTTGCCATTTGCCGTTAGCGTGACTATAAATCTCTCTATTTAATATCTTCTGACAAAAAATGACTAAAATGAAAAGACGCTTTTTTACCAAACGCCCCATTGAGGACAGCTATTAAATAACGCACTTCTTTCTTTGGGGAAATCCAGATATATACACGCTACTTCAGCAGTTGTGTTGGCATCAAACTTTCGGCGCATCCCTGTAAAGAAAGTAACAATTGATACATTAATTAATCTTTGATTTCAAAACAAAATAAAGGTCAAAGAGTTAAATTTCTGGATGCCATGGATGATGATATGAAAAATAGCAAAATGAAAAGCATTTAACATGTTAGACATGTGTTCGTTTTGAAACTATGAATTTCTCTACATATAGTGCTAGTCCTGTAGGAAAACGAAGGAAACTTATTCCCTATGTATATCTTTTATCCACACCTGACCTAAAGTATTTAACAATTCAGAACATTAAGCAATGCCTAGTGTTCAATTGATTTTTGAAATGTGTTGGTAGCCCGTTAGGAACAGCGTTTACTTGAGTGAATCCATAATAATTTAACACTTACCACCCAACCCATCCTTACTTTATACATATTTTTATTCTTTTTATTATCAAGTCTGTCATTTTCCTCTTATCTGAATTTGACAAAATTGGTTCTAGCTTTTCTTCTTAAGCCTTTTGTTACTAGAACAGCAAGAAAAAAAACCTCCACTTACGACTTGCTCAATGACTCTTTTCCAATTCAATCTTAACGTCATCGCCCATCAGAACAAAAGGAGCCCAGTACTTCGGAGCAGAATAATCGTGGGAGTCTCGAAGACATTTCATGGCCCTCTGAAGAGCAACACTTGCACTTTCTCCACTTCCAAGTTGTTTGTAGAAAGATTTCATAAACATCAATTGCCCAGAGTGTCGCCAGCACGGAACGAGCACCAGCAAACAAGAAAGCACGTGCCATACCGACCACACCCTCAGATGATACCTTTCCTTGACCACTGTGGCAGCAACTAAGCACAACCAGCCTCGCTCTCAGCTTAACAGCTTGTATGTCAGACATTTTCATAATGTAATCCCCCTCCTTAGGAGGCTAGGATTCCCATCGGGGGTCTGGAGCCAAAACAATTTCTCCAGTTTCCTTTCTTCCGTGGGCTGCAATGTGTACCAAAGCAACTGACCCGATTCTCTGAAGTACCGCTTCTTTGGTTGCATCTTCACCTGTTAAAGGTTGACTCTTTAAAATTTCTCCAATCATCTCCACTTCAATTCTTGCGTACTTCAGAGGATCATAAATGGGGCTCCCCCGTCTATCTGTAATTTTCTTCAAGCATGGATCTCCAACTAGCAGGGCTCCACTTTTACTGTGGTATTCAATTGGAGAATCTGTGATGACTTTCAAACTTGTCAGTGAGGGAACAGTGCGGATCCTTAAAGTTTCACTCAGGGCTGCCCAAGGAGCTTTGAACAAAGCGCCGTCAGAAACTACAATTAGTTCATCACCATCAAGCAAGTCTTCAATGGGACCAAGAGCTACATCATATAATGGCTGAAAAAGGTCGGTGGTCCCCTGTATTGGCTCCGATGTTTGATCATCGTCTCGAGTAGTTGAAGTTTGGTCATCACTCATCTTATCCATTGACCGATTTTCGCACCTGATACCGACGCCAGCCCCAATGTATTCCAAAACAAAGTCTAAAAGGAAAGTAAAGGAATCTTCGTGTTCAGGACCAATTTCTATCTGCGCTTGCCTAAAAATAGGGTTGTCCTCTTTTCCCAACACCCACATATTGACTTTTTTGTTTTGCAGGGCAAGAAAAAGTGTTAAAACAGTTGTCTTCCTTGAAATATTTCCGACTTCTTCTTCAGATTCAATTGACCTGGGAGAAAGTGATGTAAGGCCATAAGTTACTTTTAAGGCATCGAGCAAAGCCTGTGCCCGTCCCCTCTCAGCAGCGTATAAAGCCTCATCATTCCTTTGAAGCATTACTAAAACCTGCCATAAATGAGTATAGGCACATGGATGATGAAGCGTACAGAAACTTATTTTCAATTGATCTTCCGAGATAGAATTGGCTCTAATAGTGTCATAGATTCTAACGCAGCATCTAAAATGTTCTAAAGCCTCATTCAAGGAATGTGATTGCAGAAAAGAGTGACCCAGGCCTTGATGTGCACATGCTTCAGCTATCCTGTCACTGATTTCCTCGGCAATCCTCAAGTGTTGCTTGTAACACTCTATTGCTTCCTTCAAGTCGTGGAGTTTTCTATAACAATCTCCAAGGCGGCAATAGGCTTTTCCTTGTCCTCCCCTGTCACCGATTTCCTCGGCAGTGCTCAGGTGTAGCTTGTAGTACTCCATTGCTCCTGGCACGTCGCCGAGGGAATAACGAACTTGACCGATGTTTACATAGGCACGTCCTTTTCCTATTCTGTCACCTAGTTCCTCGGCAATGTTCAGGTGTTTCTTGTAGCACTCCATTGCTCGTGGGAATTCTTGAAGGTGGTAATAAGAATTGCCGAGAGTGGAATAGGCCTTGCCTTCCCCTACCCTGTCACCAACTTCCTCGGCAATGATGATGCATTTATTGGTGTACTCTATTGCTCGTTGGTGTTCGCCGAGAATTTCATAAATAAGGCCGAGATTGCCATAGCCTTGCAATTGCACTGCCCTGTCACCCACTCCCTTGGCAATGATGAGGCCTTTATTGGTGTACTCTATTGCTCGTTGATATTCGCGGAGAGCCTCATAAATATAGCCGAGTTTGCCATAGGCTGTGCCTTCACATGCCCTGTTACCAAATTCCTTGGCAATGCTGAGGTGTTGATTGTGGCACTCTATTGCTTGTTGGAATTCCTTGAGGGAGGCATAAGCATGGCCGAGATTGTCATAGGCACATCCTTCCCATTCCCTGTCACCAACTTCCTTGGCAATCCTGAGCTCTTGGTTGTGGTACTCTATTTCTCGTTGGGAGTCACCAAGGGATCCATAAGCACAGCCGAGTCTGTGATAGGCACGTCCTGCACCTGTTCTGTCACCGACGTCCTCAGCAATCCTCAGGTATTGCTTGATGTACCCTATTTCTTGATGGAAGTCACTGAGGAAGTAATAAGCTCTGGCTAGATTGTAGTAGGCATATGCATCTGCTTTCTCTGCCGTGTTTTTATTGATTTGCGCTATTGTAAGACGCTTTTTTTGTTCCTCTATATGTTGTAGTATTCTTTCTGCCATTTCGAAGTTTTAGTATTCGAAGTGGAACTGTTTCTTGGGCGTAAGGTTTCTTTAAAGAAGCCTGGAGGTGTAAAAAAAGCAAAATAATTGTCATTAGTACATTTGAAGTCTTTTACAAAATTTTGTCTCCTTTAGACAGATAAAACATGATAGAACTTTCCACTTCTTTCTCCCTGGATTTACTCTATCTGACGCACCTCCTGAGTTTTTTTTTGTTGTTGTCAATTTCTGGATATTGGTGTATATATTAAAGCGATAGACCACACTTTCTATGGGTTTACCGGCGTGATAATCCACGCGGGATGTTGGGAGAACGTAAATCACGAGCCGAAGGCGAGTGATTTACAAGCTTTTCGAGTGTTCTCCCAACATCCTAAGTGGGTTATCACGCCGGTAAACCCATAGAAAGTGTGGTCTGGTGCTTTTATAAAACAAACCGTAAAGCATGTTTTAGTTTTCTATGAGTTTACCGGGCGGGCACAATAAACCATAGGTTTTTAACCGTAATCAGAACGAGGGTACTATCTTAGTTAATTATTTTATAAAACAAATATTTCCTGCAGATTCCCTTAAAACGTCTTTCTATAAATTTGGATGAAAATAAAAAATCTCTTTGTACCCTACCTAAATATTCAAAAAACAAGAAAGGTTTCATTAAGTACAAAAACTAACCACTTTTGAAACTCCTGTGATACGAAATGAAAAAAGAGTTGAGAGCTTCTGCCTGAGAAAGTGTGGTAGGCTTGGAAATAGGTGTCGGTCGATTTTGGTCAAATTGGGTACAATTAGTTACTATGGGGATTTCCACATTATGCCAATGTTTTAACTCGATTGACCCTTTTTTGGTCTGAGGTATAGATCAGCCTTTTGGGGCCGGGGTTCTCTGAGGTCAATTTTTAGTTTTGAATAATTCACCTTTAATGTATGGATGGGAACATTTTGAGCCAAATCAAGAGTCATTTCTTATTACCGTAAAGTTCTCATAGTAGCGACCCCCCGAAAGTAACGTTAAAAGTTTCTGACTTCTAATAAATCCCGAAAATATCGAGCCCCCGAAAGTAACAAGTCCCAAAAAAGCGTCAACCATTACATTGAATTACGTTATAAACATACCGAATGCCTTTATTGTTTTCCAATTGCAACCCATAGTCAAATTTTTAGTGTATAATACTAATATCTTCGTGCAATTTATCACAATGAGGCTCTTTGTAACAAGGGAAAGATGGCATGCCTGAAACTTTGTCAACTATCATTCGTCGTTGACGTCAGTTCACAGATTGCACAATGTAAAAACTAAACTGATTAAAAGTTCATCTCAACAAAAGGAACGTTTCTTCAAGTTAAAACTGAAACCTCTGTATACTGCACTATAAAATACATTTGTTTGTCATGGACTAAAAGCACTGAGTTTGGCTTTCCTCCCCTCAGTCAGAGAAGAATTCGATTTCCTCTACATCGGCTAATTCACCCATTCGGTAGTCCGGTAGACCATCGATGTTGATTTCACTGTCCCTGCAATACCGAATTTCTCAAAGGAACGGATAACCGTGTCTTTCAGGAGACGAGAGGTCTCTTGTCATGCCGTGCAAGCTAGTACAACTCGTCCCGACAAGTGACAACACAATATGGGTTATTCAGTATCCAGAGACCACAAATGTGGCGGACAAAAACATGAAACTGGACAAGTGAATTCCTTGTCATTTGCTAACTATAATCATTGCTCTCGTCTTTTACCAGAGTATTGCTGTGTTTAGCACGTAGGTACTATCTCTGTTACACATATCATGTAACACAAATAAAATATTGTTTTTTTTTAAATATTATGTTGTTTATTTTTTCATATCGAGAAGGAGTATTTCCATCGTTTGTGGCTTTATTGTTTAGTTTCATGCTCGTGCATGAAACAGAGAAACCGCAAAAATCCCAAAGTTAAGTCCAATTAACTTCGGTTTCCACTTTTGAAACTATAAAATTCTTACATGAGTAGAAAGTATAGACCTTTTGATCTAAACGTCAAGAGGAAAATACTAAGGTTATAAGGCTTTCTCACTGTGCAGCCGTGCTTTGATGATTCTACTATAGCCACAACAGTACTCTCCCCATCTAGTTTACATAAAATGTTTCAGCCCAAATAGCCTGTGTTATAGGCACCCTCCAGTCAGAAAAAAAATTGGTTTTTCTGAGGGGATGGGGCGGTTGTAGACAGGTTAAGCCCAGGGAAATGGGGCTAGGTCTAATCCTCAAAAATGTGTCGGCTGCCCGGCGACAATAACATTACATGTAAATTTCAGAGACCATAAACTGGCAAACCACAACAAATTTTAAATTGTTTGCCTTACATAGGGCAGAAATACAAGCAATTTAAACTGTAAAAAGTAATTTTCCTAAAATACTTTGTGGCATTATGATTTACATAGTGCCAATGCACATTGAAAAATTTAAAAGGTAGCTGTTTGCAGGAAAATGTTGCTTGTGTGAGGAGGGATAGGGGTGAGGTGGGGGGTGGGAGGGGGGTATAAAGGAAGTTGAAGAGAGAAGCAGACAAGGGAGACAACGAAGGGAGAGAAACACAAATCGGCTAAAACAATATTCTAGTCGGACATGGAACAAACATACTTTGCTTCGCGGTCGCAAACCGGTCTAAGCTTATTATTAATTATTTCTTAGTAAAAAAGAGAAGGAAAAAAACTACAGCAGGAAATCAAAATAAACCTTACAGAAATATCTGATTAGAAAAATTCCAAGTTAAAGGAGATTATTTCTTACCTGGACGATTTGATCTCTGTGAAGAAATTTTCAGCGGAGTTTTGAAGTGTTCTCCAGTGGTTGGATTTAAATGCAGAGGACTTTCAAATATATAGGGTGGCCGACAGAAACAGAAAAACCACAAGACATCAACAACAACAAAAATAGCAGAGGACAAACCAGAAAAACAAACAAAACAGAAACACATAAGACAAAACGGAAACCCAAAACAGAAAAACACTACCAGAAAACAGAAGAACAAATCCCAAAGCGGAAGTAAGCATCCCTAAGAGGAAACACACTCAAAAAATACAAAATTAAACCGCAAAACTGAAACAGAATCCAAAAATACAAACCATAGCCACAAAAGACGAAAGCAAAAACAAGGAAATAGTGTAAAACTATACAGTTTTTCATGTGTCGAGGTTTTTTTGACAGGCGTTTTACGTTTTTTTTTAGGGATAACATGATCGCAGGTTATTATTATCTCGGAACATTAAACTGTTAATTAATCTCGTTCCCAGGCTATCTGTTCTTCCGTCGCCTCTCGCTCCAGGTGACCGGTATTTTCGTCTCTGAGGTCTCCGGTCAATTTTAGCCAGCCGGGGTGTTCAAGCGAGGACCGGAAAGCAAAACCACGTGGGGTCCGTTCCTCGATCGTCTTGGTACCTTTTCTAGTCCAAAGTAGACAGCCTAACGTGACACATGATTACTAACGTATGGCGTTAAAATACAGAGATTGACTTTGACTGAACGTCAGTTGCTCGAGATTTAATATGCCCGACATTAGGGAAGCGACAGTAGCGAAACGTCATTTATAAAGCTATTTGGCGTACTTTAAAAATTTGTGGGGGTTATCTTAATTGGCTAACTTGGTCAAATTTAAGTGATTTTTCCGTCGAACTGAATTTTTAGGGAGCACTGACATCAAAGTGTAAATAGAGAAAAATAAATTTGTCTTTGGGTGCTTTTGTCCTCCGTATAACGCAGTGACGGCGAATAAATTTATAAAAACGTGTGATGCACGGCAGAGTTATTGTTCTGTTTATTGAACGTATATCAAGAAAACATGCGAACGAGGCCCCGTTCACATAGAGAAAAATTTCCCCGGGATCACCCTCCCTGCCCGAGTCAACTTAAGCAAGTGTTTATATGATAAATAGTTGACCCCTTTGTCCAAGCCTAGAGCTGAAAACAGCACTCCCGCATGGTCTGATTCTCTCGTCTTGACCGAGTTGACCCGGCTTAGCTAGAAAGGTGACCTTACCATTGAAAAAGCGCTCTAACCCACTATTTGTTTCTAATGTATTTAAACGCCAAGTTTCGGTAAGGAAATGTAAGAAATTTTGGCTCGCCCAGGGTAGCTGGGGTAGGCAAGTGACTCTTCTACTCGGGGCGACTTTTCTTCATATAAGGGGCGACCTTGCAGTTTTTGGAAGACCTCACGTTATTGGCGGGGAAAAATATGAACAAACAAAGTTTGGAACCTAGCCCGAAAACAAAAGAACTGCGACACATAGGGGTCTATTCTGAACTGCTGCAAGGCTACTGGGGCCACGGGGCGTAATTGGCTATTAACGTGATGACATGTTTTTGCTACTAAAGGAATTCATTTCATTTTTTCTTTTATATTTAAATTTGGTAATCCCACTGAGATTGAAATAACAAAAGCCCTAACTTGGGCAAGAAAGCAAAACCCTGAAGGAATCTGGTATGTTAAAATGACGTCATCTTGGAAATGGCCTTTTTTAGAATCCCACAGAATTTGGCTTTCTGATGCAAATTAAGGTTCCTGAATTTACTGAATTAAATATGAAAGAAATTTAAAAAAAAAAAACGAAATGATTCTGGTCATATTTGTGGATTGACACTATCGTGAAAAGCCTCGTCCATGCAAATCCGGATATTTTTAAAAGCGCATTTAGATATATTTTTCACATGAATCGGCCTTCCGTCTGGTATTCCGTCCACGCACGAAACCGGTGAATCCTCTCACCCAAACATTAGGCTGATTTAGCAACAGAACGAGAACATCAGTTGACAACGGGAAAGCGCGCGGAAAGGACTAAACGCGACTTCCATTGCTCAATTTGCTGCTCTGTGATTGGCCAAGCCAGTTGTTTGATTTGTGCGCGTCGTCGTCAACTGACGTTTCCGTTCTATTGCTAAGTCAGCCCGATATCTTTTTGAAACCGCTCTCCAGAGTGGTTTAAGGCCTCGTCTACACGAATGCGGGTGAAAAAATATGCAGTTTCAAAAATTAGTCTGGATTCGTGTGCACGTGGCCCTAAAACAGTTCAAGGTAGCTTTTGCTGAATCCAGTCAAGAATGTCCTTGTAAACCACGCTCGCAGTTTCTTCCACCTCATTCAAAAGTTCATGGCGTCCATTTTTGTACACCTGCAAAGCAAGTTTTACACGCAGTTGAGTTTATAATGAAATAATAATAGGTAGATTTAAAAATGACAACGGGACGGAAAATTGGACGAAGAGGGAAAACTCTGTATTATTCTTTAGACACCCGTTTGGGGACGAGAATGTCCTCTTTGGTGATTATTTTATACATTCTCATAACCTTTTTCCTTGAAAATGTGGTGACATTGTTACGAGAAAATAGATATTGGTCACTCTTGGGGTTAAAAGGGTTTAGACAAATCACGACTTTTGTTGGGATAAGTTCACAATAATTACGCTTGGAACAAAGCGGCCGAAACTCGTACCCCGGGCAGGACAATATCACCACATGAAAAAACGCCGTTTTAAGACCGCATCTTCCTGCCATCATGATATACCGTCAAGCGCCCTAACTATTCGTCGGAAATACCCATAGAGAGGCTATTAGTTCGCTCAGTGCTGTCAGTAAAGCAGCTCATTCGTGTACCTTAAATGTCTTGTCGTTACTTGGGGAATTCTCATGTAAGTAACGTGAACCGTCAATCTTCACTAATTGATCTCCATCACCATGGACAAGTAGATAAGATGTTGTAAGCCTTGACAAGTTCCCCTGGATTTCATTCATTGCATCTAATATAGCTCCCGCCCATCTAACTTTCATTCCCTCATGCCAGTTTAGGCTATCATTGGCATACTTTTCAACCTAAAACAATAGTAATAAACAAGGTGCATTGTGTTATTGAAGTCCTAGACTTGCCACAAGTCAAGCGCGAGAGAGTAGAAAGCGAGGGACGCCTGGTACTCAAGGAAATTCGACTTGTTGTAAGACCTTTGGTTACTAAATGGATTGTGCAAATAACTGAGTGACATTGAATTTTTTATGGGGAGGCTCCAACCCTAAAAAACACGACGAGCTCCTTCAACGATAAATGTGTAAGGAGTTAGGTCAGGGGGTGGTGCCTTACCATATAAAACGTTGTTGAGTAGCTCCCCGCCCTACCCCACCGGGGGTATAATCTTAGGGTTGATCAATTGAACAGGACAGAATAACCCTCGACAAACCCGCTGTCCACTTAACGTTACTAGTTCATTGCACAATCATGAAAGATGGAAAACGTCAATTCCTGACTCAAATTCCGAACGACTTGTCATAAACCATTAAACTGAAAAACTTTTATTCAATCTCCACCCAAAATATTCCAGTCAGTGGTACGAAATGTCGAGTGTCACGATCGGCTTGAGGGACTGGACACTGCGGCATTCGGCAACCTCCAGAAATCACCTGAATATTTTCGGCATTGTTCGAAAGTCGTGGAAACTTTTTTTGGAAACGCGGATAAAATGCATACGAAAGTCCCTCTCCTTTGACTCCCGAAAAGAGAGCAGTTTTCAATTGTGTTATTCGCCTTTTTAGAAACGAGAAGGGAATTTTATTAGAGAAGAAATTTGACCCGCGATTGTTTCTTGGATTGTTACTGGGGTCACGCCGGTCAGCTATTGGCCAATCTTTTTCTCTGTCCTTAGTACCAATCCCAGAACTCTTTGGCTGAGTTTCCCTGTAGTTTTGCATCACCTGTGTAGAATCCTGGCTTAAGAGTGATGGATCTATCGGTGGCCTGATCTGGTACGAGGGCATTATCCATGATACTATTCTTCCTAGACAAACCTGTAAGATACATGCGTTATATATGTTATTTGAGACCTTTAGTTTTTAAGACGAGGAAGACTACGAGTACGAGATTTTCTTAATGCTAAGCAGTGCGCGAGCATTGACCAGCGTCATTTTGGCGGGAAAACGTGATAGCCGTCGTCATTCTTCGACGAGTTTTGCCGAGAATGTCGTTGTGACGAAAACAAGTTATCAAATGTTAGAAGCTAAGTTTTATTATTTTCGGCTGGGAGAGGGCTTAATCTCCTTGAATAAGTAACAGTGCTAACTCTTCTGGTGAATCAAAAGTACAAAGGAGCTTTCCGGGTGTCTATTTTTCTTTTTAAGAATAGCGAAAGTCGTACTCCTAGTAGGTCTCGTCCTCGAATCTAAAGGTCTCTTTTAACCAAGCGTGAGGTCCAGATAGCTGAATATTGGCCAAGTTCGTTTTGTTTTTTTTTGCGTTTTTATATATGGAACAATCACTACTGTATTAATTTCGCACCTTCCCCTAGAAGACAAGGTTTAAAACTTGACTCGTGATAAAATAATCTCCTATTAAAATAATCATCATATTCCCTTCCCTCCGCCACTAGGACTTTGTAACTCCTGTGTATGGCGTGACTCCCGCGTAATTTTATCCAATCAGGAGTCAGTATTCCCGCAACTTGCAACACTGAATCTTATTTGCTACAAGACAGGTTTGATTTGTGGGTAATAAAACGCGCAACATCACTTTCGGACTCGTTCTGCAGCAATTTGTTGCCCGTTTTACCTAACTTTCAGCCTCATTTTTAAAGTGAGGGTTTTTGGAACTCGGAATGGTCTATTATAGCCTGTGATCTTGCCCTCCCTAAAAAAAAAAAAAAAAAAAAAAAAAAAAACGCCTGATCGCGGGTTAAGATAATTAAAAGACGATGAATCACGAGAAACTATTGTTTTACATTATTTCCTTGTTTCTGTTTTGGGGTTTTTGATCATGGTTTGTATTTTTAAATTCTCTTTCAGTTTTGTGGTTCAATTTTGTATTTTTGTTTTGTATGTGTTTCCGCTTTGGGGTGTTTATTTCTGTTTTCTTAGGTACGTAGTATTTTTCTGTTTTGGGTTTGTTGCATCCTGTTTTTGCATTGACGGTACCCTAAGAAAAGAGAAACAGTCTTTGCATGGTGTTTTCGTTTACCATTTGTAGCAAGTGGAACAATAAATTACCGTGCAAGGATTGGCTTCCACTTTTATGCTTGGTGCACTAAAAATCGCACCAGCAAAGAAATAAGGTCTTTCCATAACACTGAGAACAGCTATTGTACCACCCTAAAAAGAATAATGCATAATATTAGTAATATCATAACATGAAATTTTCAGGGTGCAGTCAAACCACTGTATAGGCTAAGACTTTGGGGTCATTTACAGAAAGTGGTCGCTTACGACACTTTCTTGGAGTAGATTTCCGGGCACATATACTATATGGTAGATAATTTAGTGCACCGATCTCTTTCTCAGTTACATGTTGTGACTTAAGTTCTTCGTATACTCCTAGTAGCATACAGCGAACGTAAGAGTTCAGACAAATCGTTAAGGGGTCGCTTTTTAGGAGGTTAAAAACGATGAGAAATGTCTCTAACGCGGTCGCTTAAGGATGAAGATCTTTTACGAGAGGTGGTCGCATATGGAGGTTCGACTGTATTTGTGTTTTTGTAATATGTGATTTGACTGCATTGAAGCCAGACTTGAAAAGAATTAAAAATAAGAAAACCTGAAATTCACAGGCTATCTATGTTACCAAAACAAACCGGCAAGAGCGCAACATTACGAAACAACCGCAAAGCATGATGGGCTTGGGGTCTTTATCGTAATTAACATATACTTGTACTCCTGTGATCGACTCGGTTAGGGGACCCGAGAACCTAAAAACAAATACAAAACAAAAAACAAACAAACAAACAAAAACGAAAAAAAGGGGCAGAGTTCCAATAACGTTTTTATAACATTACATACCATTGAGTGGCCAAACATAAATATTGGTATGCCTGTGTTGTCTCCTGTGACTTGGTCAATGTGTTTAAAAACATCTCTGACGTAAAAGGAAAAATCTGATATTTGGACTCTTTCTCCTTCACTCTGACCATGACCAACTAATAGAAAGATTTATTGTCAAAAATCAGCTCTTGAAGGGTTATATCACACTATTTCCTGTCTTTCTTTGTATTCGCCAGGTGCCCATAACATCATAAATTGAATTCCAAAAATAATGGGCCAGTTTTCTACTCTATCTTTATCCCTGCCTCCCATCCCTAACATTTTACGGGCCACCTCCCCGAGCTCACAAGGTTCTGCAATACACGTATTTTAAGTTTTAGATTACCACTTCCACCTCCCTCCCCCCCCCCCGACTCTTCCCGAGAAAGTATGATTAGATGCAGTTACTGTACCACGGAAGAGATTGAACAAGGCCGGGGTGGGACATACCGTGATCTTGACTGAAGGCGAGGTAGCCTTGTTCAGCTAAAGCATTTCCAAGCCTCTCGTAGCGTGAACAATGCTCTCCATATCCATGGCAGATAAAGACCAATGCTCTATCGAGGAAATAACCACGAAAATCTATTGTTATTTGTTTTATCAATGATCAAGAGACTTTCAATTTTGTGCTATACCTGTAAATCATTTAGAGTCCTTCCGAGCACCGCAAATGATTAATTAACTGCATGATGTATTACAATTAATTTCTTTTAATACGAAGGTTTAGTTTATTTCTTCAATTTTTGTATTCTTCGGATGGCCATATTTTTGCTCACCACCTACCGAAGCTTACCGACTAACTGATTTCGCTATTGTAATAATAGATAGCTACTATCATTCAGTTCGCTGAATTTTTGTCAGCGATTGTACCGATCCTCAGATCATATGGAAACCACACAAAGTCAACAGGCCTACTCTCGAATCTTAACTCGCCGCGAGATTGTTCGAGCTGATGCGAGTTAAGGCGAGATAAGGAAAAATTGAGCTTGCCTATCAGTTGCGAGTTTGTGCGAATTGGCGAGTCAACATTGGACATCTCGTGCGTGCTTGGAATTTAATTTTCACTCGTTTAAATGACTTTTTTCAAGTTGACTTTACTTTGCTCGTTTGATTTCATTCCCTCGCTCTGACTCTGAATTAGCATAAACCTTTCTATTATAATGCTTATAATAAAAATAACTTGATTAATCATTTAGCCAGGTCGATGCACTTTTGACTGCAGCAAAGCATAATACACTTCTTTTGGCGAAAAAAAGAATTGTAAAGGTCTTTTTTGCCCTAATTCAACTGTGTTAGCAGTCATTTTGGAAGAGCGTGATTTGAACTTCAAGAAATAAACTACTGATAATGCTTACCTGGGTTTCTTATCGCTTGGTTTCCAATATTTGGTAAAAATTTTCTTTCCATCTGCGCTCTTGAACGATCCTTCTTCTGATACGATTTGCATACTAACGCTTAAGTGTATTCTCAATAAATACACAACCAAAGAACGCGTTTAATTTAGAAGCAGCAGCAAAACATGGCGATCTGCGCTCGATGAAGCGTATAAAAAATATTGTGCTCAACAATAACAAAGCATGTTATTGAAATGCAAAATGTAAATTTCGATGTTTGATCAATTTGTTTGATCACCGAGAAACGTGTTGCGAACCTACTGCTACACTCGGATACGGAGCATTTGGCGGGAAAATCGTTTACAACCTTAGATGGGTGGGGAGGGGAAACTATCCAACTAACTTATCGCGAAAAACAGTTTGAACTTTAAATGTGTGGCACTCTAGAGCTTTTAAAAATTATTATCCATAATATTTATCTTACAGTTGGCACGATTATGTCGCGGTTCAATTCTATTTTCGGTCTAAATGATATTTTCCTTTGTTTTCAAACACATTAATTGTCACTTGTAACTAGGCGTCAGAATTTGACGAGGAAAGAATATTTAAACGTATCCTAGAATCTGAAGCACATCCTTGCAAACGTTTTTTAGACAAGCCAGGGGATCATGGCCATAATCTAAGATCACGCACTGTTAGGCACAAACATTCGTTTATTCCTAATATAAATATGTAGTGTTTTGAATTTTTATTGTAATATTACCGTAATTCTTATCGCCAAAGATAATAGAATTAATAAAGGTATTAATCCCCAAAACAAAGGAAAATGAAATTTAAACCACAATTACAATTGAACTTAAACATCTACATTAAACAATTTTCTTGAAAGCTCTCTTAATGAGGAGGTTATTTAGTCATCAGCGTTTTCCGGCTATCCAAACCACACCAAATAGCCGGTGATGTTTTCCACATTAAGCATTTTTACTTCCGTTTTAAATATGTTTGTCTAAACAAATTTCAACGGAGATAAAGCCTTTGTTCCCTGGCTATAGTGGTTAACAAATCCCGGGAGATCCTGGGACGAGAATGCAGATGACGTCAAGTTTAAATGCCGCGTTTGGAAGCACTAGATGAATAAGATGATCCCTTGGAGGGTTCGAAGAGCGGGAGATTACAGGGTAGATTGGCATGTCGCTTCCCTATGACTCTTCTCATACATCAACAAAAAAGGAAAAAAAAAAAGGAAATTAAAATTACCTTCAAACAAAACGCCATCCCATAAAAAAGGTTTATTTTTTGAAAGGTAAATGTCTACATTTGAGGTATGCACTGTTTACAAAAGCATAAATAACTTGGAATGGTAGTAGCCATTCTTTCATCTCGCAGACAAGAGAAGGTTGATAAGGCGGTTCGTCTTGGCTACATGTTTATCACTCGGCTGAGCTTCTGGATTCTATTCAATAGCAGATCACCCTGTTTTATAGTAGCCTACAGCAAAAAACAAACAAACAAAATAAAACAAAAAGACAGTTTCAAAATGACGACAGAGGGCGATAAAATACTTAATTGACTGTTCAATACTCTTTCAGTGATTAGCATATAATTTCTCCTTGTTATATATTTGTTTTGTACAACAGAGTGAGCATGAGAATTCAGAAAATGATCACACAAGGTAAATCATATATTTGATGCACCACAGTAGTTCTACAGAAAAAGTATAGTAACAGTAGATGAGAATTTATATTTTGATATAAAAGTTTAAAGGGTCAAAAACAATGGTCATACCTGGTATTGCCAGTTCTTGTGATCAGGCCTGAAAAGAAACAAAGTCACCATGTTAATACTTAAGTAAATAAGTAAATAAATAAATAAAGAAATGAATGAATGAATGGATGATGAAATGAATGAATAACATTACATTAACCTGGCAACAATGTAGGAGTTTTCTACAGTTGTCTACACATACACGTTTCAGTTGCATATCTCACATGTACACAAACAAGAAAACAACAATAGTTTGTGTAAAAATTTTTCCCAAGACACAATAAATTCTTTAAATGACAGACCTGTACCATCCTCCTACAAGAAACTCTAAAATAGAACTGGGAGCATGTAAGAGCGGTGACAGTGCTAAGTATTAGAAGTACATTGTTGTACATGTAAACAAACTTACCTGTTAGTTTCAACAACACCTCCAACTTTGTCAATTTTGCAGTTCAATCTTCCAGCTGCAATAAATCTTGAAAGCTCTCTGGAAATAAAATAAAATAACATAAAATAAATAATTAAAAAAAAAAAAAAACTTTTATACACATAACAACTAGTAACAACTGAAGGTTGCAGAGTGCGGGCAACGACAATATTTAAAGGTCAAGATGCTTCTGTTGAAAGGCTGAGCTTTGCATAAGTTTCATGAAATACATGTAGATGGTCAAAACACGTTTGATTAAATTACTAGTGATAGAAGGTTCATTAGTTCTTAAATATAATTTTTGGCAACCAGAATACTTGTTCTGGCAACCAAAAATGAAAACTTGGGGGCCAGCTGGCCCCAAGATTTTTTTCTGAAAGTCGAGCACTGAACATTGTTACAGCACTACATGTACTCCAATTAGTGATGTGCATGCATTCAGTAAGAATTGTACATAAATTTACAAAGGATTTTCTCTTGCAATATTTATTCTCATTGTGTGATAAGCTACTCAGGAAGGGGGGAGGGGTTGGGGAAAATGTCAAGACATAATTATTTGCAGTGAATCTCAAAAAACTGCTTATATATCATATCAAATTTCCAGCAGGTTCAAAACAATGGCAATTTACAAGTGAAAAAAATTGCCACATACACTGTACATGTAAACACAAAAATTGCTGCAAAAATTTCCTGAGTAAATAAGCTTTAAGCAAGGTTAGAAGTGAGCTGGTAACAAGCAATTCAGCAATTGAATTCAGCTTGAATCTGTTTTAAATAAATGGTGCTTTGCTTACTTATCAATAAACTCCTCACTAACTCCAAATGCATTAGCCATGTACTGCAACGTGAGACTGCGGTATGACTCCAACAGCTGGGTGTAAGCGTGTATTCTCATCTCCCTGATATAGTATCTACAGTGTGGATAGAGCAAGCGATCTTGTTTGAGAAAATCTTCTACTTGTGCTGTGGAGAGAAAAAATACATCATCATCATTATTGATCTTCATCTGTACACCATAAGATTTGCCTATATGTATGCAAGCTATTGTGACACCAGCAAAATACTATTTGGCTGACTTCAATTTAGGTGAGATTAAACACCAGGCAATGTTTGCTGGTGGTCTTTATCACCAATCATATTATAAGTAGGGTGGTCAACTTTACAGTGCTTTCCCTGGGGTCAATCACTTTGCTCACGTTGCTTTCACGCGCACTACATGTAGCTTTAGCCTTCTTTGCTCCCAGCCCTTCCTTCCCTTTGGATGTTTTTTTGGTAAGTATCTGCACATTTTTCTCCACTGAGGTTCTCAGTGTGAGGGTGCCTGGTGGGTGCCGCTCAAATGGTTGTCATGGTTATTGTCCTGGCTCGCTTAAGGCTCCCTTCAGGTTTACAAGGCACCTTCCCCATGGGTTTAATTTAATTTTTATAGAGGGAATTTATAAAAGTAGAGCTTTCCTACCCAAGGCTACAAAGAAATCAGCATAGTGGCAGTTGTATAGGGATGTCAGGAATTGGTTTACAACTGGCAACTGATGAAGAACTTCTAGGATTTCAGCACCATTCACAACCTAAACATGAAAATACCTTTGTCATTTGCAAAGTAGAAAGTGGTTTTAATACCACAAGTCAACAACTAACTTTATTAAACTATTAAAATACATATTTTTGTCAAAAACTGGTACAGATGAGAAACAACATTATTGTTGTACATGTATCTGTTCTTTGTACAGCAAAGTAAGTTGTAATATGCTAAGTTCCATGTTGTTCCTAAGAGCTCTTCTCTTTCTCTAAAAATAATAAAAGTAGCATAGCTACAGTTGTAGTACACACATTGAACAGAGAGATCAGATCCTGTGTCAAGTGGTTGCTTACAAGAGGTTTAAAAGAATGGAAAATTATTTAAACTGTCAGCCAAAAATGGGGTCACAGTTGCATGCAGGAATCAGTTATTTACGAGAGGTTCCAACTGTAAGGTTTTGACTTGGAAATCTTTGGTGTTTTGGATAGCTGGTTGCTTTAAGAGACTGTATCATGATAATACTGGAAATAAAGATTAAATTTCATAACTTCAGAATTGAGAAGTTTAATATTAAGAAGCTGACTCATGCTAACCAACCTTCTGTCTTAGGTCAACCCTCTCTGGTGCAATCATACTTGCAAGTACAGTATAAGTAACAAACGTCTTGTAATCCATCAGCTCATATGATGTGAAAGTAGATATACTGTCTAGGAAGTTATTAGCAGCAGATTTGAAGTCGCGGATGGATAAAAAGTAGATTCCCTGGTACACTTTGAGTCTGTTACGCCGATCCCAGTCACCTCCTTCCTCTATAAGGCTGATAGAAAACAAGTCATACCTAAATATAACTATTTTTCAATCATTTTTAACAACTATTTTAGCTAATCTAAGATACCAGTATAAGTTAATATTAGTTAAAAGTGACAAATACGACAATCTTATCGTGTGCAAATAAATCACATAAACTACAATCTTATAATCTTTTACATGCACTTCGGTTATGTAAAAAAATGTTATTATCAGCAGTTTGAAAATAAAATTGTCCATACATTTGATACTAGCAGCCTCTGAGTAACGATGATATCACTTAGTTAAGTACGAAACCATACGATAGTCTGTACTTACGTCTTGGCTTTATCTATGTTCCGTGTGATAAGGTCATTGTCAAGGTAAAACAAGCCGATGAGAATTTGATAAAATAAGATATCCAGCTTGTAACCAAGGGCTACTGCCTTCTCATATGCGAGGAGGAACACAGTCAGGGCTTTTTCCTGGAAATGGAAAGAAAAATACATTTTTAAAATAATTATATAAAAATAATCATCACAACAGAGCAATAAAACCCTGAAGACATCAACTCATCTCATCAATGATGACAAGACAATAGTAGTAATCATAAGGAGTTTTTATCCTGTTAACAGAAACAAAATCAAAGCTATTATCAGTACAAACCTTATCCCCAATCAGACAGAGATATTCTGCCTTAGCATACAATGCATCTGTCATTTCTGTCTCTCCTAAATTTTCCTCAGCATCTTTGAGGGTTTCGTGAAGCTTCTTAAAGAAGTTTAAATCCTTTTGAACACTGTTTTTAATTTACACAGGTCGATAACACAAGGATTATTGCTCACTGATCTTCAAACATAAAAATTCGCTGTGTTACAAGACTAGATCTTGTTAACTATATTAGAATTGGCAGTTTGTTGGTTTAGTGATTCCTGGCCAATCTCTGTCAATACACCCGACCATCTCAGTTGTCTTTCTTGTCTCCTTTAGTTTGGGTCTCGTCTTTTTCCAGCTGTGCCTTTGGAAAAAAAAAAGATAAAAACACAAAGAGGTCACAAGCCAATAAAAAGTGATGGTCAAGTCATCGCAACAAACTTTACCAAAGAGAGAATTTAGCTATTTTCATTGAAGGAATTGTACCCTCAAATAATATTAAAATGCGGGCTTTATAGCAGCCCCCCTCAAAACATTTTGTATGCTACCTTCCCCTTTCCCCCTATTAGCGAGTTAAAACAACTGTCCCCTCCCTTGCTCCCTCCCCACCCACCTTTGCTTTAGAGTGTCCATCCCACAGCCTGCTACTTTCTCTTGTTAGCCCAGAGGCTTGCTCGATCAAGGCAGACTGACCCTCCCCTTCCCTCTTCCAAGTGTGTTATCATGTCCCCTCCCTCCCTCCCTACCCACCTGTGCTTTATTTAGAGTACTCGTCCAAAAGCTGTCAAACTCACTAGTGGCCTTCAACTTCAAGGCAGACCCTCCCCTCCCCTCTCCTCCTCTAAGTGTGCTATCATGTCCCTACCCTCCCTCCCTACCCACCAGTGCTTTATTTAGGGTACTCGTCCAAAAGCTGTTAAACTCACTAGCAGCTTTCAGCTTCAAGGCAAACTGAGCAGACCCTCCCCTACCGACAGTGTGTTATTGTGTCTCCCCTCCCTACTATACATTACCTACCTGTGCTTTAGAGTGCTCATCCAAAAGCCTGTCATACTCTCTTGTTAGTCCCGCAGCTTGCTCTTTTAATGCCGCCAAATCTTTCTTTGTCTTCTCAAGCTCTGTATTTAAAGGTAGAATAGCAAATATTTTTTTAAAAACCTAAATGGAGATCACACTTCAGTAGATGATCAGAAGTGTTGCATTCTGACACATTGTTCTCGGGTTTACTGCCTAACATGCAAAACAGACCATCATTTTCACTATCTTGTCCATCTCTCGGTCACACTCATACACATGTATAGCTATACATTGCCTCCAATCTTGGAAACTGAGACACTGAAAAGAAAACTGCAATAACAGCAAACCACTGAATGCAAGTAACAGGTCTTTGATTTATTATGTACATGTCATGGGGAAGACCTTGTTCAGTAGATAATCTTGATCAATAAAATGATGCTAACAGAAAAAGTTAAGACTGACAAGGGTTTATGGTATCAATGGTCTCATCTTTGGTTAAAATAAATGTACAGTTCTTACAGTGACAGATCACATCTATTTTCATATTAACATGAAAAAGTTTACATGTATATAGAGTGTTTTCACATGATGTCATGGTGGCCATATTGGTGTCCCACAACAATAAAACGGCGGCCATGTTGGTGTCCCAAACCAATCCTGTGGGAGTTGAACTCTTTTCTTATGCAAACGCTTTCTTTTGTCCCATAAATTTGCATAGATGCTGGCCAGGTGAGTGAAAACACTCTATATGTTCTACATATGATTTTGACCCAGAGGCTAAAACCATCATACTTAGCTGCACCTTCAGTCCTCTCTGTCAGCTTTTTGGATTTTTCTGCAAGAGAATCTCTCATGTCCTTCAACTCCTGGTTGAGTTTGTCCACTTCATCTTCGCCTATGCCACCTTCCCCAGATTCCCCTCTGGCGCTTTCCAAGGACTGCTCAGACAAAAAAGAGGCACTTTATTTGAGTGTCATTGTATTTAATGGTCATTTTATCTGATGGTACTGCTATTTTACAAGGTCATCTGTGCCACCCGACAGTCTATCTGCTTGCAGTACTAGAGCAAAGGAAGAACATTCACTTCTCAGTTATTTTAAGACCCTGAGTATTGGTCCGGCCTGGGAATTTAAGCCGCAAAACAGTCGGTATTTTTTCTCAAAATCAGTAAAGAAATCAGTAAAGTGTGGTGTAAGAGTCTTACGCGTGCGAAGCATCTCTCTCCAGTCTCGCTCTCTGTTTTCAGCCTCGTTCCAGACCTTTTGTTTGACTGCTCGCGCGTACTCGAATACGCAAAAATATGGACTGTTTTGCAGTCTAAGGTGAACACTGCTGGGTCACCCATACTTGTGCTATCCTTATAAAGTAATTTTTACCCCGGAAATTTTAATTTACAAATTACCTTTTTTAATTCTTCATTCTCATCCATAAGCCGCTTGCACTGATCAGAAGCACTCTGAGCCTGCCTCAGACTGGCCTCATTAGAAGCTTCAAGGACTGAGCAATGAGAAAGAAGCCTCACAACACGGCGCAACACTCTGCAAAGAAAAACCATCAAAGTTTTACACAAAATTCATGAAGGGCTCCATTACAAAAACTTCTCCTCCAGAAATGAAATGAAAGTTAGCGAAACCATTCATTTGAAAGCTACTGATCAGTACTTTACTGTGGTACTGTTTATTATCCCATTTAAATAGTATTTCATTTGAAGCAGTTTTGTAAAACCTACAAATTATGGGGACATTCAGTGGACCCTCATTTCAGTCGGCTGAAAAGAGATGTTTTCATGTATTATATGTATGGGAAGAAAAGCTGTGGAATCAATCACCCTCATTGAAGAAATTCATTAGGCTAGATCTGTGTCAAAACTGTGTTAAAATCTTTATAAGAGTTCTTCAAGCAAAGCCAAAAAAGTTCAGTCAGGGTGTTTATTAGGTATTGGAGATCAGAAAATTTTTTGGTGTACTACGCACAAATCTTGGGCTAATGTTCGGTAACCTACAGTATGACTACTTTTTATACAGACAAGGAGCCTCTTTCAAAATATTCTCCTGTAACGTTACCCCTTTCTCGTGCTAATAGAATGAATTCTTAACCCTTTAAGCCCTAGAAGTGAGCAGCATCAAATTTCTCCTTGTAATATCAATGCTTTGTACAACAGAGTGGTCATGAGAATTACGGATATGATCACAAAAGATGAATTTGCACGAAATTTTATCAACTTCTCCTCATTACTTCTGTAGGAAATGAATAGGAGCAACAAGTGAGAATTCAAATTTTGATCTTATGGTTTAAAGGGGTAATGAAAACCCTGTTCAGTATTGTAGTTGATAGTTTGGAGAGAGTGACTCTGCGTTATGTGCATAATAAACGACACCGCTGGTTCCTTTTTACGATGGCTGACAGGTATCGAAACTGTCGACTACAATACTGAACTTTTTTTGGCTATGTTTGAAGAAAAACAAATTAAAATTTTATTTTACCCTTATGTCTGTGCAGTGCATTGCAAAATGGTTTGTGCTTTATCTGGGTAAAGCAGGTTTCACCACATTACAACATAACTTTTTACACTCCATTTATTTTCAAGTTATTGTACATGTACATGTATGAAGTCACAGAAAGGGAGATTCATTTAGAACACTAGCAAACTTACATGAGAAGGAAAAGAGAAAATCCAGAAATGTAGAGATTGCGCTGAGCACGAAAGAGCTTCATATGAGCCAACATTTCAGCTTGGGGATTATTTTGTAGGTCAGTGGGTGTTGTTTCAATTTTGCTATATTTTCTTGTCTCTCGAATAGAATCTGCAAAGGAAGACATTAAATAGTTCAAAATAAAAACTAATTATCAATATTAAATTTAAATTCATTTAAAGAATAAACTGGTTCAAATCCTGGGCCACACCAACACTTACAGCCGTAGGGTTTTTAAGGAACTGAGGAGAAGGTGCAGGCTTTGTAAAGACTTAACTTAAGGTAGCTGAACACAGTTTTACAGGCAGTCAGCGGTAACTCACATGACAGCGCGTGTTTTAAATTAGACAAACAAACATGGCGGCAAAAAAAGCACTGGTACACAGAAGGACATGGACAAGTGGACTTTGTAATCTACTTTGTTTAGTTTCTTCGTTTTTTTGGAAAACACTTGTAAAATAACGGCATAGCTTTAAATAGGGTGATCATGTGTAGTAATAATAATTATTACTACATGCATGTGCATGTGTGCTTCGCAGTGTAGTCAGTGTGTGCATGTATGCTATGTGATAATTAATGTTATTGTTGAAACTGTTGTACTTTGAAATAAATGAAATGAAATAAAAAAAACCAAACCAAAAAAATGGCAGACAGAAGACGATTTCTCAAAATCTACTCATTAAAATTTTGTGATATTTGGCAGAATTTTTACTTTTATCGAAAATTTATATAATGAGTAATTTAAAATGGAAGTTAAACAGACCAATTTTGTGACACATTTAATAATTACAGTACCATTATATTATTGATTATCTAAAAATCCCTCCGTTTTAATTTTGGTCAAATAAGTTTCAAATTGTAATGATTAATTATAGTATTTTAAAAGTTGTGTGCAAGTTTATCGGAAAATCTAATAAGTGAATTTTATGCAAACTGAGCAAAGTGAAATTTAAGGGTTGTATTCAATCGTTCATGTTGCCATGGAAACTACAAAAACATCACATTTTACCTGTCAATCAAAATCTTTCATCAGTATATTTTTCAATTGCCAAGTTTCAGCTTGTGAGCTGCAACCTTTCTCTTGGCATGATTTGGCGAATGACATACACTCACAAACTGCCAAAACTGTGTTCAACCACCTTAAATAATAATTATTTAAGTTAAGTCTTAAAAAGTAAGTAATTAATAATAATTAGTAATTACTTGTTTAGATATTTGCCCAGCTCACAAGTATTATTTTAGGAAATATATATTCCCAAGCATTTCTAGAATGTTTTTTGTAATTGCCATATAAAATTTCAGAGAGTAAAACACCAAAAAAATGTTTGCATAATTATTGTGAATTGTTTTGATCCTCCACTGGGATGGCACCATAAACTTATTAAGGCCAGAATAATGGGAAACAATTCAATTCCATTCCAAAGCATGAAAATACCGTAATATGCATTTGAAAATTTAATACATTTACTCTCATCCGTTATGTTGCATCACCTCAAAGAACAATGTTATCACCTCAAACATTCTTAAGAAAGTACATCCTTGCCAAATATAGAACACGATGACTCGCCCTTAACTTCCAAAGTCAGGACGTAACATGTCGATCGAAATCGATCATCGGAAGGCTAGTCGATAAGTCGATAGTGCTCGATAATTGTCTATAATTGTCGATTGATTAGTTTAATTTGTCGATAAAAGTCGATAATCACAAAGTTCTCAGGGCTGGCTATCGATGTGTATCGACTTTTATCGATTTCTATCGACATCAACATGTCAAGTGAACGAAGATACTTTGTATAAGCATCGTGAGTGTAAAAAGTTGTACGACGCTGATAATGGCAATAAACCTGAATAAAGTTGCATTAAAACCTGAAAAAAACATATGTTATCTTCAATCTGCAACCGAATGTTTACTTCAAGAAATCTGAAGAAATGCACCTTGGTTTGCACCACTCGCGTTCAATATCGCTTCTGTCGCTTCGCAATTTTTTCCGGTCTTGCGCCGCGATTGTTTTGGTCAGCACCGGTACACATCTTATGTATATATCTTTGGCCCTGAGATACCGGGAAAATGCTGTGATAAATGAAGAACAAACGCAGACAAAGTACTCAGATGTAATTAACTTTCATTCAATTATTGCCGGTTATTGTTGTTTGCTGGATCCACCACCGCATTGTCCAGGCCAGTGCTTTGCTTTTCTCCTTTGGATGACGAGGAGCAAATGGAGTACATCTCCCGGTACTTTTGTGTTCGACCTCTAAATAATTTCGGTGATGAGTTGCGGTGAGTTGTTTCATATTGGAGTTTTTACTGGGAAGATAACAGAGGCTACTAAGAATAATAAATTCACTTTGTTTTAACTCTCTACTCAGCTCTAGTTACAGTGCAAAATAAAATATTGAAACATACATAGCTCTACATATGATCGTTTTTTATCTTTCGATACTTTTCGATAAAAGTCGATTGAAATCGAACTCTAACACCAAAAGTCGATCAAAATCGATAATCACAAGAAATTTTGTGATCGACTTTTATCGATTTCCGATATTTGTCGATTAATTAGTATCGACTTTTATCGACAACGATCGATTTTTATCGACTATCGGAATTATCGACATGTTATGTCCTGCAAAGTAGAAAGTGCAAGAGACTTTCCTTACTTTCCCGGAAGCAAAGTTCTACAAAAAATTCATAACACCACCCTGTATTCGCGATTATTTTCCCTTTTTATTAAGTTTTCACTAGCTTAGATCGATGCGTACTCAATATGGATATCTTGCATTCATCAAGAGGTTATAAACAGTTTAATTGAAAAGCGGAAAAACAAAAAAATGTTAGCTCATTACGCTTAACATGGAGATCAGCGACCTATTGTAGAATAAGAAAACTTGAGAAAGACTTGAAAAATTAAATTACGAACAAGGGATTCTCAACAATCAGAATCTATTTATAAAAGTATTAATAAATCTCCATATTTGATGATCTTCAACTAGGCTTGGCTACACCAAAGCTCATTCCAAACTCGCATTTTATTATTGAATGTATAA